TTCTTCTTTCCCAGCTCCTCCTGACTAAAGCCAGCTTCGACGGTTGTAAGATTCAGGTTTTCTGCATCGCAGAAGAGGACTCTAATGCAGAGGAACTGAGATCTGATGTGAAGAAATTCCTATACGATCTCCGGATGCAAGCTGAGGTCATTGTGATTTCAATGAAGTCTTGGGAAACCCAAGGGGGTGAGGAGCCTCAAGAATCAGTCACCGGTGCGCGGCAGAGGATCGGTGAGTACCTGGCGGAGATGAAGGCGGCAGCTGAGAGGGAAGGGAGGCCGTTTTTGATGGCCGACGGGAAGAGGGTTGTGGTCAGTGAGACACAGGTGGAGAAGTTTCTTTACACCACTTTGAAGCTCAACGCGACGATACTGAAATACTCTAGGATGGCGGCTGTTGTTTTTGTGAGCCTTCCCGCCCCACCACTCAACCACCCGGCCTACTTGTACATGGAGTATATGGACCTGTTGGTTGACAATGTGCCAAGGTTGTTGATCGTCCGAGGTTACCGCAGAGATGTTGTCACCTTGTTCTCATAGTTTTTGAATTGTTGGGTATATTTATCCAGAGTCATGCTACAAACCTACCAAGGTTGACCGTCTGTGAATTTGTACACACAAACGATAATTGTTTGTGAACTTTATGCGTTCACAGACGATTATCGCGTATGATTGTACAAATTCAAATATGGTTGTCATCCGCCGTGTCAATCGTAGTGGGTTCTAGCATTTTTTAATCCATCCTTTTCTTTTCTTTTGCGTCTAATTTCATGTTCCATTCATCGCGGAACTCTCTCTTCATCCTTTTTTTTTTCTTTATACACATGTGGTTAATGACTTAATGTAATTCTTTGGGTTCATGATAAATAGTACGAGTATATTTTTTCAAGTTTAAGGGGTGTGAAATTGCTGCAAGTGTAGCGGTATTTTTCTTTGTTTTAAATATTTTATGTGTTCCTTTGGGCGAAAATTCTAAAAACCAATGTATTGTTGCAATTTTGGCTGAACGTTTGTATTTGGATCACTACTTTTTTAGCGATAATAACTCTATCATAATTGTTACTCCGGTTATATCTATTCATACATACTTTCTCAACTTATTGAAGTACCAAAAGTTATTTGGATCACTACTTAATGCTCGCGGAATACATTTAGACTAAAAGAATAGGAACTTTGTTATTTTTAAAAATGCCATTTAAAATTTTGTTAAGTATATTTGAAAATTGGGATCGAGCCCAACCATGAGAAGATTAGGGCCATCATTGAAATGCAAACCCCGACCTCAGTCACTGATGTGCAAAAGCTAACCGGGCACTTGGCAGCCCTTAGTTGATTTCTCTCCTGGTCAGCACAAAGATCTTTGCCTTTCTTCAAAGTCTTGAAGAAGGCCAACGCCTTTGCATGGGATGAGGAGTGTCAGAGGGCGTTTGAAGAGTTGAAGGAGTACCTGGTGTCAGACATTGTGTTGTCTAAACCCGAACGAGGTGAAACTTTGTATCTGTACCTTGGGATTTCCCCCACGCTATAAACTCCGTTTGAATAAGAGATGACAGGGCACAAAAGCCTATTTATTACGTGATCAAAGCATTAAACGGAGCTAAAAGTCGATACACAATGATGGAAAAAACAGCATACGTACTCTTCATAACTGCAAAGAAGTTAATGTCGTATTTTCAAGCTCACAACATCGAAGTCCGTACCAACCAACCTCTTGGTGCGGTATTACGAAATTCAACATCCTCTGGGAGAATGGTGAAGTGGGCGATGATTTTGACTCAGCTTCACATAGAATACCGTCCCAGATCAACAATCAAAGGCCAAGCCCTTGCGGATTTCCTGGTAGAAATGACCGGTCTTGGTCCTGATCAACCGGCCAACCAACCTACAAAAGGAATTGTGTGAGATGGCCGTAGATGGAGCATCCGGGCCAAATGGATACGGAGGCGGCGTTGTGTTCACCACGCCGGAAGGGTTTAAAATATACCATGCCCTCATCTTCAACTTCAAGTTAACAAACAATGAAGCTGAATACGAGGCTCTTGCCGCGGGACGTTGCCTCGCCCAAGCGCTAAAAATAAATTGGGTAAATATCAAATCTGACTCTAGCCTCATTGTGGGGCAGGTAACCGGTACCATGGAGGCCCGGGAAGGATGAATGGCGCAGTACAAAGACTTGGTACTGGCCCTACTAAAAAGATTTATTGAGTTCAAGATAGCTCAGATCCCCCGGGCGGAGAACACGGATGCTGATCTCCTTTTGAAACTGACACAGTCTGCACCATAGCATGTTTCAAAGCTTGCCCGGGTTGAGGTCCTTGACCGGGCTAGTATCGACAAATTGGAGGTTTCTACAATCAGAAAAGCCGGAGGAATTGACTGGGTGGGTGCCAACACGCTAGGTGCCGACGACCACTAGATGGATGACATGCTGAAGTACTTAGTGAATGGAAGTTTACCGGAACACGAAGACTGGGTGCAAAAAGTCAAACTCAGAGCACCCCGATTCCAAGTCATTGAGGCCAGGCTATACAAGAAATGCAGAACGTGCCAAGTGTCAGAAATGCACTATACAAGAAATGCAGAACGTTCCAAGTCATTGTGAGAGGTACGTGCAGAAATGCAGAACGTACCAAGTGTTTTATAAGAACCCGGGGTTGGCCGGCCACCTACTACCATCCTGTGTCAGATGTCATTTTGTTCGATCGATTCGGAGTTGATATCATTGGGGCATTCCCGATATCCCAAGGGAGGAAAAACTTTGTGATTGTAGCGATCAATTACTTCACGAAATGGGTAGATACCGAGGCATTGGCAAAAATAACCACGGAACAATGAAAGAAGTTTATATGGAAGAATATCATTATAAGGTTTGGAGCCCCAAAAATCTCATCACGGTCAACGACCCGCAATTTAGAAATTCAAAATCCACCGAATATTTGGAAAGTTTTAGAATAAAACACAACCATTCTTCAATAGTAGACCCCTAGGGGAATGGTCAAGTGGGGAACGCCAACAGAACCATTGTGGATGGTTTGAAAAAACGACTAGGAGAAGCGGGAAAAAAGTGGTTGGAAGGGCTCCCACACATCGTATGGGCATACTGCGTAACACCAAGAAGATAAGATAACATAGGGAAATGCCGTTCTCCCTTACTTTTGGATGTAAAACAAGGCTACCCATTGAAGCCGAATTTCCAACGTTTAGGGAGGCCAACTATGAACCAGAATGAAATGAAGAAGATCACTTGGCCGCACTTAACTTGGTCGAAGAGCGAAGGATGGTCGTAGAAGTGAAAATGAGCACGCATCAACTAGTGATAAAGAAATACCATGACTATAAAGTTGGACTGCGATACTTCCAAGTTGGAGATGAAGTCCTACAGAGAAGAGATGCCACCAAACCGGGAGATGAAGGTAAGTTGACCGAAAATTGGGAATGACCTTACTGGGTGGGTGCGGTAGTACGCATGGGTACATACAAGTTGGAAACCTTAAAAGGTGAAGCAATCGAAAGATGTTGGAATTCACACCATTTGAGGAAGTTCTACAAATAACTGTAATACTAGGCAAGACCTATTTCGTTATTAATGAAGTGAATGTTCCGTTACTCGGTAACAAAAGAAGTGATGGGTCGAACCTATCCTATAAGGCCAACCGGGTTAATTGAATTCAACCCGATTGGGAAAACTGACACAGGCCCAAACTTGGCACTTTAGTTACGACACCGGTCTTGGTAAGTATAAAAAAATTAACAAACCCGGAAGAGGGGCCCCAGACCAGGGGTATGCTTGCAATCAGGTTGGACCTGGAAGAAAGTTCGAAACTGTACTTACATGGTCTCACAAAATCTGACCGGGAAGGAAGACCATGCTCGAACGGTCAAACCGAGTGAGGAATGAAAAGATGCACACGAAAAGAGTAAAAGGGATCATTCATCGCATTGATTCCTAAATAGACCGGGTCGGTATCCCCCTTTTCAGGGAAGACTTGAACGAGCAATGAGCCAAGGCCATTAACCCGGGAGAGTATGTTATGAAAGGTCCATAAAAGACTAAAAAACCCAGAAGAGGGGGCCCTAGAAGAAGGGTGCATATAGGCCTCGGAGGGCTTGAAATCAATTGACATGGTCGAAATCTATAGTGTTAACTTGGCCGAGTCTGAAACACTTCGGGAATTACTAGGTTACAGGTGCGCCCACTTAAAACCTACAGGTTTAAAAGAAGATAACCGTCCAAAGAAAGTATGACAAAATGCTACGGGACAAGAGGAAGTCACCTCGCACTATCTGAGAACATGGGCTGATGTAGACGTGCGACGCTCTGCCTCCTCCATTTCCTTATAAATACCTGTGTAACTCTCAAACGAAGGGATCCGAATATTATCTCTCTAGAGTTCATATTGTAATAGCACCCAACTACTCCACATACTTAATAAAAATTAGACTAGAGATGTTTCCACCTAAAGTCATACCGGTCATTCTTTATTTTCCTGCACCTTTAATTCTTTAAACTCAGTAAACTACACTAGTTAAAAGATATGTAATTTTTATTTTTAAAATCAACAACTTTCATAAAAATGAATTGAAAATAACTTCATTCAAATATCATAACACGTAATGAGAATATAATTTTTGGACGGAGGAAGAGTTTTTAAAAGGGAAAATTCTTTGGATTGAAGTAAAAAACTACGGAGTATAAAAATACCAATATAAGAGTCATAACTTTTTTATGACCAAAATAGGAGTTCACACTATCATTGTTACAGTGCCACACTTATTACATTGTTATATTATAATTGTCACATTATCAGTGCCACACCGGTCATCCGTCGCTACTGGCCACCATAGTGCCACGGCGACACTGATATATATTACATTGTCATCACTTTTCCATTACACTGCCAATGTATATTTTTACACCACAATGTTATTATACTTCTATTTTAATCTTAAAAGGCTTAGAATTTCTATTTTAATATAGACCTATTTTAATATTTTTATAGTTTTTTTACTCTATATAGATTTCTTTTTTTAAAATTGGGGTATCTTGAAGTTCTTACTTGGAAGAGAGGAGGAGAGAGAGGAGCTTCAAGCTTGGCTAATTCTTTTCAATGGCGGAGAAAGGAAAGCCGTTGAGGATGATGGCTGAGGCCTTCACAGACCTATCAAAGTCCATCGCTTCCCAATCTGGTGAAGAAGCGCAGCAGATCCAAGTGGGCGCATTTTCTAGTGCCTGCTCTCATGTCTCCCCTCTCTTCGCCTGCCTCGGCATCGCATTCAAGTTTGCCGAGCTCGATTATGTAGCCAAGGTATATGTATTCGTTTGTCCCCTTCATTTCTTCATCGATTAAGTATTATTTTTCCAGCTCCCAATTTCATCCTAAAACCTATCGATTCAGTCTTATATTAACGATTTATAATCAAATGTATGCATCTCTATTGTAAATTTCTACTAAAAATATACGGAGTACTTCATTGTTGATCACACAACATTCCATTAGGGCTTACCGGAAAGCAAAATACCATACCAACCCACCTGTAACTTCAGAACTGAAGGAGATGAACTAAACTCCTTTTTCTTGCAATTTTACTTTTTTCATTTTTCGTAGACAATTTTACTTATTAATTTTTATAGACACTTCTAAGGGGAGCTTTTGCCATTTCTTCTTCAATTAAATTTTTAAGAAAAAAGAACCTGTCCACTTTACATAAAAATTTCTTTGTCTATATTAGGATCATTTTTTCACAGCCACCCCAATGCATTGAAATTTCATCCTAAACCCAATTTTCAAAGAAGTGATACTTCTTTAAAGCTTAATTTCTAGGCGAGGTACACTTAAGTTTCCAATGTGATAGGTTACTTTCAGAGTTCAAAGGTATCACAAACATGAACTCCCAAAACGTTTGAATTTTTCCAGCTAAGAAATGCTCATGCACTCTTGACTCTCCTAGTCATTGTTATCTATGCAATATGGTCTAGCTCATAAACATTTGTATTGCGTGTCCATTTGATTAAATTTTACCAATTCATTTGCAATTTATGCAAATGAGCAATTATCCAAATCTGAGGCCTATATCAGAAGACATTTGCTTGCCATATTTCTTTCCAATATTTGACGCTGGTGACAGGTTGAAGATCTAGCGGATGCATCAAAGTCTGTTGCAACATTAAGAGAAATGATAGATTTAGACATCGAAGGAAATTGTGTAAGAAATGCTGGCAGTCATACAAGGAATCTGCTGAGGGTGAAGCGTGGGATAGATATGGTTAAAGTTTTGTTTGACCACATTTTGGCCTCTGGGTATGTTATGCTTTTAAGGTTAAATGTATCAGTGCTAATTTCTCCATAGTCCATCCCCAAATTGAATTCGTAGTTTGACTTCACAGAGCTTAAGAAAAAATATTTATATTGAAAAGCTTGCGGTAGGAATTCGTTTGGAAGAGAGAGATGTTGTGAGCTACATATTCTTTTCATAAAAAAGAAAGGAGATAAGTGTGAAATCTATTTAGGGCATATGAAAAAGAAAAACGTGAATTTAATTGGGAAACAAAGGGAGTATTTAATATGAAAACCAATGTTCCAAATTTTGCTAGGCAGCCCGCCCGTCCATGAGGTGTCTACTGTCTAGTGCTATTTTTGGATTATTCGGAAACAATTACAGAATTATATTCTGGTTGTTCTACTGTTATGGACTTGTGGGAGGAAAGTCTCCATCCTATAACATTACAACTTTTATGATGAAACCTCAAGTTTCAAAATGATATCAAAGCTAATTAGACCCAATTACACAAACAAATAATTTGATCCATTGTAAGCTTCAGAAGTTAGTACATTGAACTTCAAGATCGGTTTCATCTCAACAAACTATCCGGTGGTGGCATGTTAAGCCACCCTGCACTTGAGTTATATGAAAATACAAATCAACATGTTAGGTCTTAGGCTACTCTTTTATGGGGCCTTTTAGGTTAGAACTAATTTTTCAATCTTCTCACACTGTATATGAATGAAACTCAGTACATGGTTTTTCTTGTTTTGATAGGGAAAGTTCTCTAATGGGTCCAGCTTCAAAAGCTTATGCACAGGTTTTTTCTCCTCACCATGGATGGCTAATAAGGAAGGCTGTAGCTGCAGGAATGTATGCTCTTCCTACCAAGGCACAACTCTTAAAGAAGCTCAATGAAGATGGTGAGATAAATTCTGTTTTATTCTATTTCTTCGCCTAAGTTACATTGTTCATTCATTATAATCAACCACTTCTGCATCCAGAATATCTTAAAAGGGCTATTTGTAATCATATTAGATGCGTTATATGCCCTAACCTTATGCAGTCAAAGAATAAGGGTTTGTTCTCTTCGTCTGATCTAATTGGTTCTGAACTGAATTTATTAAGGTCTAATGGAATCATTATTCCAATAGGATTAAGTAATAAGCAGAAGCAGAATAGAACATGCCATAAGATGCATGAAATGTTATCCCCCAACCTGCCACAAAATGTTAATGGTCAAAAGTAAATCATGCCAAACAAGCCCATTACATCCCGATTGAGAGTCGGGTTTTTGTTTGTGTGTGTGTGTGTGGGGGGGGGGGGATGTTAAGATATATACATAGATCTTACCTCTACTTCAAAGACTCCATAACTTCTCTCCCAGAGGATCCCAAGAAATCATGGCATGCTGTGCTGACGATGCCTTTATTCGATTTACATCTTCGATGTATTGGAACTCAAGCATCTTAGTATAATGGCATCGAACATTATAGCTTAGGATTTTGGAGAGCTAAGATTTGGGTAGCTGGGTAGGCATTTTGGACTGGGTGGTAGGTTTTTTCACTTATTGCTGTGTGTTTTTTATGCTTGGTGCTTTTTGTTTGCTATGACTTCCTCTCATTAATATTAGTTGTTCTTGGCTTTTTCTATGCTCTGTGCTCTCTTTGCTTTATGTGTCTTCTATGAACTTGTGCTTTGTGTTACTTGAGCCAGTGGTCTCTTAGAAACAACCTCTTTACTTTTGGGTAGGGGAAAAGTCGCGCACACCCTCCCCAAACCCTACTCGTGGGATTCACCTGGGTAGTTGCTGTTGTTGTTGTTCTTGTAGCTTAGAGTAACACCTGAAGTCCATCCAAAAAAAAAGCAGTTACCAAGTTTTACGTCAGATATGCCCTTTATGTCCTTTTGGTCGCAACTATCTCGCAAAGTAAGTTAGGCCTATGGGATGAATTTGTAAAACCATTGTAATCATATGTTATCTCCGACAAAAGGTCAAAAAATATGTTATCTCCAGTCTCCACTTAACTCAACCTAAATGCTATTTGTGGGCCATCTTGTTCTTTAGAACATGGCTCATTACTTGAAATAACCCCGCTTGGTTGCCCTATATGTCCTTTCGGTCGCAACTATGACCATCAGGGTTGGATAATTTGAAGAGCCAACTTCAAACAAAATTACCAACTTATTCAACCCATAGTTATCATAGATTATCTCCACTTGATTGCCTATGCCCTTTTACCTGAAATGACCCCACATATGCTTCACTTCACCCAACCTAGCTCATCTAGTGCTTTAAAACATGGTTCATTACTTAAAATGACCCTGCTTCATTGCCTGTTACGTCGCAACTATCTCGCATAGTAAGTTAGGCTTATGAGATGAATTTGTAAAACCACTGCTCTCATAGATTATTTCCACTTGATTGCCTATGCCTTTTTACCTGAAATGACCCCGCTCTGCTTCGCCTTACCCAACCTTGATGCTATTTGCCGGCCATCTAGTGCTTTAGAACTTGGGCCATTAGTTTTTCTCAATAAGACATTGAATTAGTTCAGTGGTCTGGCAAATTATCTATTCCTAGCAAATTGTTCATTGAGCATTGTTGCTCTATTTTGTGTTGTGTCATTTCAGAAGCTTCAGCAACGATGTACATGAGAAGTTACGTTGCTTCAGCAGCTCCAGTCATCGATTATGTTGAAAGCCTTTTCATTTCAAAAGGTTTGGAAACAAACTGGTAGAACAAAGGAACTCTTCTGATAGAAAACATGATACATAGATAGTTCATCATAAATAATTATCTCTCAATGTTTACCACTGTACACTTTGTGAGTTTATTTTCTTGCGTAGTGTACTTTCATATAGACTGTTGTAATATTGTTTATGTAAAATCTTTGCAATAAGATAATTTCCCCTGATTGTGGTGCCTCTTCCTGCACCATAAGGTAATAGTCAATTTCACCAATGCCCCTATTGTCTTAAACTCTAAATTGCACTTTCACCATTGATGTGATTGCTTATAATTAAAAAGTTTTTTCTAACTGCAAGCTTGCACTTGTTGGGGTGGTTGTAATGGGAGATGGTTTGAGGCTTAAAGCCAACATGAACCCAACTTTAACCATTAGGATTGGGTGAATTAGCAATTTTGTTTGAAGTTGGCTCTTCAAATTAAAAGTTAGGTTTAAGAGGAGGAAAGGGTCCCACAAATCCCCATCTCTCTTGTTGGTTGTAATAGGAGATGGATTGAGGTTTAAAACCTACATGAACTCAACTTTAACCATTAGGGTTGGATAAGTTGGTAATTTTGTTTGAAGTTGGCTCTTCAAATTAAAAGTTAGGTTTAAGAGTGGGTCCCACAAATCCCCATCTATCTTACTCCGTAATTTCTACTTTTTGTTATTTACATGTAGTACTCCGTATTTTTTAATTTAATTAAAGAATTTTTTAATTAATTAAATTAAATATAATAGTTTAGTTTGTTTAATTTATTTAAATGTAAATATTTTATTAAACTTGGTGTTGTAGGTTTATTGTTACACGAATAAATTTTTAAAAAATAGTGAGTTTTAACATTTGATGTAGCATTGTTAAAATTATTTTTTGGGTTCATTGTTACGATCACTTTAAGGTCTTGCTCTTTTGGGTTGAAAATTTAAAGTTAGGTATTGGAAGGAGTTGGAAAATGTTGGAAATACTTAAGTGTTAAAAAATTACTTAATTAAATGATGACCCAAATAGATATGTAAGAAAACTCTAATTTAGTTAAAAGAGAATCCATCTTTGTGTGTGTTTGAGATAGTATGTTACAAATTTAGATATACTAGCATTTTAACCCGTGCGAAGCACGGAATTAAAAAAATTTTTTGTTTGAAATTTGTAATATTTCTCTACTAAAACAATTTTTGGAAATCAAACAAAATAAAGAGAGAACTCTATAGTTATGAGTAAACAACAATGTAAATACCAAAATAGAAGTCAAAAGTAGGGGTGGACAGGGTACGGTTCCGGTCCAGTTCCGGTTCCGGAAGCGCCGGTTCCGGTTCTGGAACCGCCGGTTCTGGTTCCGGAACCGGCGGTTCCGGTACCGCCACCCCTTGGTACCGGTACCGTGACCGGACCGGGCAGTACCGGTTCCGGTACCCGGACCGGCGGTTCCGGTACTGGACCGGCCGGTTTCGGCCACCCCCAATTTTTTTTTGCTTTTTTTTAAATATTTAAAGTGTAAAATTGTAAATTAGCAATTGTTAAAGAAAAGAATGAAATAAAAAATCTAAAAATGTAGTTGTTATTTAAATATTGTAAAATAAGTAATACGCAAACTGAAGAACAAATACATTTAATATTTTGACGGTTCAAAAAAAGCGACGAGGTAAAGAACAGTAAAGAAACCTTCGAAGGAGCTTATATATCGCTCACCTATAAAAACTAATTACATATTTACATTAACATAAAAAAAAGTTTATAACTTATTGCTCAGAACTCGGACTTCCATCTGTGGTTGCATTCATGTAATGCTCCGAATTGAATTCATATGCTGACTCTTGAGCTCGACGTCTTGCCAAGAGCTAATCTTGGTTGCAAACAAGTGTTTCAAGAGATTCAGCACTAAGACAACTTCGGTAGTCGGTTAGAATGTTGCCGCCAGCACTGAATTCTCGTTCAACTGCTACGGTTGATACCGGGACGGACAACACTTGTCTTGCTAGCATTCCGAGACATGGGAACATGTGTTCGTTCCGCTTCCACCATCCGAGGACGTCAAACTCCACGTCGTCGTCGTCGTAATCGCATGGAACCCCTTGGTACATAGAAAGTTCATTGTGCGAGCTTACTATTGTACCACTTGAACTCGTCGAAGGCTGAGCACGCTTCCCTTTCTTTGCAAGAAGCCCATCGACTATTCGTTTAAAACCGTTTTTTGATTTGGGGGGCGGAGGAGGTGCTTTTTCTTCTGGTACAGTACCGTATAACCCTTGATATTTCTTAAACAATTTCTCAAAAAGAGTTGTAGCATTATCTCTTTCATTTTTCCATTCTATTAAAAAGATGTAGTAATAACTATTTTCATCTAAAAAACAAGTGTAGTAATAGTCAATTAAAATTTTAAAATTTTCAATCTTAAAGCGTGGATCACAAATAATACCTATTTTATAAATATCAGGAATGTACAAATAATAAGCACACCATTTATCTCTCATAGGAGAGACATAAGGGTACAAATCTGGATCAGCCATACTTTCACGAAAACATGTTGCGATTGTAACGCACTTTTTAAAAAATGTATTTGTAGTTAGTTGGTAAACATGCAAAAAAGTAAGAGTTGCGTTATTAAAAACTTCTAATACGACATTCAATTTTTCAACAATAACAAATTCAATAGGTGAAATGATTATGCGAAGTTCATCCCTAAAAAATTCAGCAAGTTCCTCTTTATAGCTTAGTATCTGTGCTATCAACTTGTAAATACTATTTCATCTAATGTGGATATAGTTGGCAAATGTTATTTCTCTTCTACCCTTAGACTTACAGAACATCTTCCAGGACCTCGAAATAAGACGAGCCCCCCAAATTTTTCTAATTCCTTCTTTAATATTCGTCAAACCCCCCCATAGCTTCTAGTCCCTGTTGAACACATAAATTTAAAACATGACATGCATACCGTTGATGCAGAAATCTACCCATAGTCGTAGTAGAGGGGCAAATTTCTCTAAGTCTAGGAATAGCAGCAGTATTATTAGTAGCATTGTAACGCCACAAAATATGGCCTAAAATTTATTATAAAACAAAAGTAATTTTTGTCCAATAAGAAATATTTATACGTTTGACCAAAAAAATTAATAAATTTTCAAAATAATAACTTTTTGTTAAAAACTTATTTTTATGGATATGTCTCAATGAGACGAATCCAACGGTACATTTTAAGAACCAATCTGATTTATAGATTTCATGCTATGATGATTTTACATATTAAAATTTGTAACTTTGACCCATAAAATAAACTAAATTCAAAAGTGATTTCATCATATTAGAAATCATAATTTTAACACTTGACAACACCATATTTATCATTTGGAATAAAACCATATATTTATATCTCATTCATATTATTAAATTAATTTATGACTGAGACAGAACTGAACACTGAGAAAAATAAAAGTTCTCAGAAAAATATTTTGATTACATCAAAATTCTAGTTTTGACAGTCTTATTCCAAAACTACAATCCGTTTTTAATTCGGAGCAGTTTGGGCGAAAAAGCGCGTACCATTTGAGATAAACTACTCAGTTTGGACAAAAGGCCAAAATTAATTTTCCTAAATCTCAACTCAATCACGTATAGCAGCCCATGTTCTCCACTACAGACCCCATTTATTCTCCACTACTTAATAATACATTAAATCTACATAATACTCCAAAACCTCAACTCTTTCCTACACAATTCCACCACCATCATCTTCATTATACATCATTCATCCATCCATCCTTCTCCATTCTCTCTCTCTGTCCGCAGCCCAAAGAAGGAGAAGAAAACATCAATCCTCCATGGTTGTATGCTAAAGAAGAAGAAGAAGAAGAAGAAGCAAGAAAATCATCCATAGTTTCCAAATCATGAGTTCCAAACGCAGCATCAACTTCTACGTAAGTTCTGTAATTTTCCATCCATTATCTCGGAATACTTCTTGAACCAAAGTTGTAGCCCCAGACGATACAATTCCAGCCCAACAAACGGCTCGCGATTTCGTAAAGTAACGAAGGAGATATGACCAAAATACCGGGACTGCGCCAGTGGTGGCGAGCTCCTCGGGTTGGCATGTTTTTCTTCACCAAATTCATATTATTTCATCCCAAATAATTACCATAAACTCTCTAACAATTATTAGGAACATCCGGAAGGTATCGTAGAGAAAGTTCGGCGTTGGAACGTTGAAGTTAGTGAGTTAATCGTCGGAATCATGTTCATCGACATACCCGAAATTCTGGACAGCAACTTTCCATTGACTTCAGGTCCAATTTACGCTATCTTACATATGTTAAAATGAAATACTTTCTATACGAAAGTTGTAACCTTAAATCTTAGGAATCCACAGAATCAAACGGTTTGCAATTCCGTGAAGAAACGATGGAGATATGCCCAAATTACCGCAGGCTGTCCAGTTGTGACAGAAATGACAAAGTTGGTGAATTACGATGTTGTTTCCACTCCCGCTCATCCGTAAGGTTTCGGCCAATGATTTCCAGGTCTGTACCTTTGCGTTAGACTTGTCGAATCATTCAACACATGCGTACATGAACATATATGTTAATCCATTTGGTGAAATCATTCCAAAATATATGTGTGGTGCATATATAAGTTATCTTTGTGTTAAAACCATAATACACCAAATCCATAAAGTTATTATATAAATACATGAGTATATATATAAGCATTTGAAATCAACCCAAAAATATGTATATATTAATCAAAGGTGTTTAAAAGACTTAAAGAAGTATTTTTGGATACTCAAAATATCAAGAGATAGATTCGCAGACCCAAACGGTCGATGCAAACGGTCGACCGTCGTATTAAACTTTGAAACGGACCACGACTATCAGCCAAACGGTCGACCGCTGGTGGCTGACGGTCGACTGCCGCCCGTCCAGCCGAAGTCCGCCATCCGCAGCCAGTCAACAACGGTCGACTGCCAGTCAACCACGGTCGACCGTCACGGTGATTCTCCAACCCGACGCGATGAAGTTCAAGGTCGACCGGGAATAATACTGCTGCTAATGCTACTAATAATACTGCTGCTATTTCTAGACTTAAGAGAAATTTGCCCCCCTACTACGACTATGGGTAGATTTCTGCATCATCTGTGTGCCTGTCATGTTTTAAATTTATGTGTTCAACAGGGACTAGAAGCTATGGGGGGTTTGACGAATATTAAAGAAGGAATTAGAAAAATTTGGGGGGCTCGTCTTATTTCGAGGTCCTGGAAGATATTCTGAAAGTCTAAGGGTAGAAGAGAAATAACATTTGCCAACTATATCCACATTAGATGAAATAGTATTTACAAGTTGATAGCACAGATTTTAAGCTATAAAGAGGAACTTGCTGAATTTTTTAGGGATGAACTTTGTATAATCATTTCACCTATTGAATTTGTAACGCCACAAAATATGGCCTAAAATTTATTATAAAATAAAAGTAGTTTTATCCAATAAGGAATATTTATACGTTTGACCAAAAATAAATGGATTTTCAAAATAATGACTTTTTGTTAAAAAGTTATTTTTATGGATATGTCTCGAAGAGACGAATCCAACGGTACATTTTATGAACCAATCTGATTTATAGATTTCAAGTTATGTCAATTTTAAATATTAAAATTTGTAACTTTGACCCATAAAATAAACTCAATTCAAAAAGAGATTTCATAGGGTTAGAAATCTTAAATTTTGACACTTGACAACATCATATTAATCATTTGGATTTAATTCATATATTTTTATTTTTTATTTCATTCATATTATTATATTAAATTATGACTGAGACAGACCCGAACACTGTGAAAAATAAAAGTTCTCAGAAAAATATTTTGATTACGTCAAAATTCTAGTTTTGATAGTCTGATTCCAAAAATACAATTTGTTTTCAATTCGGAACAGTTTGGGCGAAAAATCTCGTACCGTTTAAAGTAAATTGTTCAGTTTTGGCTAAAAGCCAAAACTCAATTCTCAAATCTTCTCCAAATCTCCGTAGCATCCCTCTTGTTTCAACCATCCACCTAAGAAGCCCACTACACCACAACAACCCAAGCTATCCCATATAATACTCCACCACTCAATATCATCATTATCTTCCACTCTCATCACCATCATCCACCATCATTCATTCATCCATCCATCCCTCTCCATTCTCTCTCTGTCGGCAGCTTCAAGGAGAGAAGAAAACACAACTCCTCCTCCGTACTTGGCTCAAGGAAGAAGAAGAAGCAAGCAAGAAACCATCCAAAGTTTCCAAACCTTGAGTCCAAAACACATCAGTCCACTTTGAGGTAAAAACTAAAATTTTCCATCCATTATATCGAAATACTTCTTGAACCAAAGTTTTAGCCCCGGACGATACGAATCCAGCCCAACAAACGGCTTGCGATTTCGTTAAGTAACGAAGAAGATATGGCCAAAATACCGGGACTGTGCCAGTGGTGGCGAGCTCCTCGGGATTGGCTATGTTTCCTCACCATATTCATGTTGTTTCATTCCAAATACTTACCATAAACTCTCTAACGATTATTAGGAACATCCGGAAGGTATCGTAGAGAAGATTCGGTGTTGGAATATTGAAATAAAGGAGTTAATCGTCGGAATCATTGTTCATCGACATATACAAAATCCTGGACAGCAACTATCCCTTGACTTCAAGTCCAATTTACGCTATTTTACACCTCTTAATTCGAAATACTTTCGATACAAAAGTTATAGCCTTACATCTTAGGAACCCATAGAATCAAACGGTTTGCAATTTCGTGAATGTTGGAATATTGGAATAATAATATTGCTCATTGAATTATGGAGTACATGATAGAGTATATATAGTAGAGACTCCTAACACAACTAGGAGTAGAGAATGGAAACTAACTAACATACCACTTCTACCATAACTAGGAATACTTAATATTATTGTCTAACATCCCCCCTCAAGCTGAACTCTGGCTGAAGCAAGAGGAAGCTTGGACACTAGTTGGAAATTGGAAACTTTGAGAAGAGAGAAGTCTGACATGCGCCGGTGGCTGCTCACGTCGTTGGAGAAGAGAAAAGTTTGACACGCACCGGTGGCTGCTGGCGTCGTTGGAGAAGGGAGCTAGAAGTCTGACATGCACTGGTAGCTGCTAACGTCGTTGGAGAAGAGAGAAATTGGCGTGCGCTAGTAGCTGCTGACGTCGATGAAGAAGAGAGAAGGTTGACGTGCACTTGTAGCTGCTGACGCCGAAGAAGAATAGAGAAGGTTGACGTGCGCTAGTAGCTGCTGACGTCGATGAAGACTACAGGAGGTGCAGTGCCTGTTTGACTGAAGATCATTGACGTTTTTTTTGTCTTTTTCTTAGATCCGGGCAATGCCCTATTTCCTTCTTGAAGGGGTGAGTTGTAGAGGTCTTATTTCCTCTTTCACTTCTTCCCCTCTTGCCTTTGCTTTTGTGGTGATTTACTTTGAATTTTTGTTGGTTGAACAGAAGAGAAAAAAGAAGGGAGACTGATGATTAGAATGAGTGATTTGAGAGAGAAAAAAGTGCAGTGGGTTAAGAATTGTGATGGAAAAAGAATTTGGGTCTTAGATTTTGATACAGTGAATTAGAGAGAAACAACAATAGTTTTTGTTTTTCCTTTTTTTTGAGAAGATAGGACGATCTGAGAGAGTTTGTGAGGAGTTGGATTTTTTTTTGAAGAACCATGAAGATGACAAAAGAGAAGTTCCTTCTTTGATAGTTTTTTTTTTTGTATGATTTCAACAAGGGTTTTTTTCTTCTTTTTTTCATTTGAGTGGAGAAGTTGATTTGAGGATAAAGAAGGAAAAGAAAATAGAGGTGAATAGGGTGGAGCCACCGTCGCCAGAATTACCGGCGGCGGCGGTGGGAGCAAAGATCTTTTTTTTAGGTCACCAAGAGCGGTGGCTCTGATACCATGTTGGAATATTGGAATAATAATATTGCTCATTGAATTATGGAGTACATGATAGAGTATATATAGTAGAGACTCCTAACACAACTAGGAATAGAGAATGGAAACTAACTAACATACCACTTCTACCATAACTAGGAATACTTAATATTATTGTCTAACAGTGAAGAAACGATGGAGATATGCTCAAAATACCGCAGGCTGTCCAATTGTGACGGGAATGACAAAGTTGCTGAATTTCGATGTTGTTTCCACTCCCGCTCATCCGTAAGCTTTCGGCCAATGATTTCCAGGTCTGTACCTTTGCGTTAGACTTATTGAATCATTCATCACATACGTACATGAACATATATGTTAATCCATATGTTGAAATCATCCCGAAATAAATATGTGATACATATATAAGTCATCTTCGTGTTAAGACCAAAATACATCAAATCCATAAGTTATTATATATATACATAAGTATATACAAACATTGAAATCAACCCAACAATATGTATATATTAATCAAATGTGTTTAAAATACTTAAAGAAGTATTTTGGACACTCATAATATCAAGAGAAAGATTCGCAGACCCAAACGGTCGATGCAAACGGTCGACCGTCGCGTTAAACTTTGAGACGAACCAGGACTGTCAGCCAAACAGTCAACCGCCGACGGCTGACGGTCGACCGCCGCCTGCCCAGCCAAGGACCGCCGTCCACCTCCAGTCAACAACGGTCGACCGCCGGTCAACCGCGGTCGACCGTCACGGTGTTCCGCCAGCCCGACGTAATGAAGGTCGAGGTCGACCGTCGCGCCAAACGGTCGACCGTTCCGAGCCCCGTAGCTTAATTAAATGATATTTTATCAGATCTCACCCAAATAAAATAAAGTATATTTATCCATTCATATTATTTACAAATTGCTCATATCATATGACTCATATCATCACACATATTGTAGCATATCATATCATATGCATGCGTAAGAGATCATGCGTAATTGCGTCTCTTATAGCTGTGATTGTGCGGGACTTAGCAGTCCGACATCACTGACCGGGCTTAGTGTACGTACATGGTATTCAGGCTTTCGAGTACCACCCCTATTTTTCTAATCTCCCTTGTGAGACTAAGGTGGCATGAGTTCGTCGTACCTAATGGGCGAATCTCATAGTGCAAGGTCGTTCCTTGCGGGTTATAGGATCATGCATCATGTTATCATCATCAGGTACAATTATATTGATTACATAGGTATCGTGTAATCATCATCAAGAACGATTATATTGATTACATAGGTGTCATGTAATCATCATCAAGGACAATCACATTGATTAAATGTACCATCATGTAATTATCATTAAATATTTATCATCATGATTCATCAAATTGACCATATGATATAATGTGCCATATCATGAATATTGTTATACATTTTTGTGGATATATATATATATATATATATATGTATATGTATATGTCTGTGAATTATTCTACAATTCTAGCGTGGTACCACTCAGCGGTTTCGCTGAGCGTGTAGTTTGTATTTTTCGTTGACTATACGTAGGTAACAAGAAGACAAGAATGGAATAACTCCCGGAGGGCATTGAGTCAGAGGAGATGCGAGGATGGCAGACAAATGTTTGATCACCAGATTTTAAAATGTGTCATGATTTGATTATTATTGTACTTTCGCATTACTCTGAAAATATTTTTTTTATGGGTCGCGATCCAGAGTCTGTAAATTTGATATTTATAAGAAATTATCATTTTCAAATGTCAAGCAAAATTTTTATTTAACTCTCGTTTCACCTTAATTCGTGTAATTCCGGGTTATACGGATTAGGGTGTTACAGAATTTGTTATTGTTGAAAAATTGAATGCCGTATTAGAAGTTTTTAATAACGCAACTCTTACTTTTTTGCATGTTTACCAACCAACTACAAATACATTTTAAAAAAGTGCGTTACAATCGCAACATGTTTTCGTGAAAGTATGGCTCATCCAGATTTGTACCCTTATGTTTCTCCTATGAGAGATAAATGGTGTGATTATTTGTACATTCCTGATATTTATAAAATAGGTATTATTTGTGATCCACGCTTTAAGATTGAAAATTTTATAATTTTAATTGACTATTACTACACTTGTTTTTTAGATGAAAATAATTATTACTACACCTTTTTAATAGAATGGAAAAATGAAAGAGATAATGCTACAACTCTTTTTGAGAAATTGTTTAAGAAATATCAAGGGTTATACGGTACTGTACCAGAAGAAAAAGCACCTCCTCTGCCCCCCAAATCAAAAAAAGGTTTTAAAGCAATAGTCGGTGGGCTTCTTGCAAAGAAAGGGAAGCGTGTTCAGCCTTCGACGAGTTCAAGTGGTACAACAGTAAGTTCGCACAACGAACTTTCTATGTACCAAGGGGTGTCATGCGATTACGACGATGACGACGTGGAGTTTGACGTCCTCGGATGGTGGAAGCGGAACGAACACATGTTCCCATGTCTCGGAATGCTAGCAAGACAAGTGTTGTCCGTTCCGGTATCAACCGTAGCAGTTGAACGAGAATTCAGTACTGGCGGCAACATTCTAACCGACTACCGAAGTTGTCTTAGTGCTGAATCTCTTGAAACACTTGTTTGCAACCAAGATTGGCTCTTGGCAAGACGTCGAGCTCAAGAGTCAACGTACGAATTCAATTCGGAGCATTACATGAATGCAACCACATATGGAAGTCCGAGTTCTGAAGAATAAGTTATAAACTTTTTTTAATGTTAATGTAAATATGTAATTAGTTTCTTTTAGATGAGCGATATATAAGCTCCTTCGAGGGTTTCTTTACGGTTCTTTACCTCGTCGCTTTTTTTTGAACCGTCAGGATATTAAATGTAGTTGTTCTTCAGTTCGTGTATTACTTATTTTACAATATTTAAATAACAACTACATTTTTAGATTTTTTATTTCATTCTTTCCTTTAATAATTGCAAATTTATAATTTTACACTTTAAATATTTTAAAAAAAAGCAAAAAAAAAGAATAAATTGAGGGTGGCCGAAACCGGCCTGTCCGGTACCAGAACGGGTACCGCCCGGTTCGGTCACGGTACCGGTACCAAGTGGTAGCGGTACCGAAACCGGCGGTTCCGAAACCGGAGCCGACCCGGAACCGTACCGTGTCCACCCCTATTCCCCATCAGCTTCTATTTATAATTAAGACGCTGAAGTCAATGTGTATACGTTTACAAGTGCATGATGGATTGGACGTATACATTACTGCTATAAAAGTATGTGTAATTCATTGTATCCGTATTTCATAACAAAATTAAAATTTTATTGGTAATTTTTTATGTTGTACATACAAACGAAAGAATATTTCTTTTTCTTTGCTATAAATAATAATAGAGTAATAGAGAGGGCTTAAAAATTTAGTGAATTTTGAAATAGTGTGAACTTCAATTAAAAAAATGAAGTAGCCTAAAATAATTTTAAACTGAGAATTTACATCAGAAAAGGTAAGTTTGTGAAATTTGTGACAGTTTTGTTTGTGAATATTACCAGAAATTGACATGTGATAGGATTCCGGCCAATTGAATCAAGCACTTTTAATGTGATAGGTAAAGTACAATACAATTAGTAATTAATAATCAATTGATATGATGTGATACATAGAGTAAAAATTAGTAGCGATAAAAGTGTTCTTTTAATATAAAAAATAAAAAGACATATTTAGATAGGAAACAAATGAAAGGAGAAAATGGAATCGAAAAGCATGTAAGCCATATATGATATTTCTCTATCTCATATAAAGTTCCATGCTGTTTATGATATTTGACTGAAGTTATTTTCAAATTAATTTATCTAAAAATTGGGATAAAATTAAAAAAAATAAAATTTATATAGGAAATATTTAAAAATAACATCAAAAGTTTTATAAATCGAGATGTGAGATGACTATATTATTATACGGAGTATCAAATTAGTAATGAATAATAAAGAAATCGATATTTCTTTTCTGATGGATTGGAGGGAGTATTTTCTTACTTTAAAAGATCCCAATTTTTGGTAATCACATAGTATTTTTTTATACTGGGTAATCACATATATACTATACTTTTCATAGTTTTGAAGAAAATACTTTACAATTAGAGCTGGCAAATCGGTCGGTCAGATTGGGTTCGGGTTCGGTCACTTCGAGTTCGGGTTACTTCGGGTTCGGGTCAATTCGGGTTCGGGTTGAGAACTGTATGTTCATGACCCAGTGTCATCGGGTTCGGATCGACCCAACGGGTTATGACTTTGGTCTTTAAAATTTTTAAATTTACATTAACACTTACATTTTCTATTTAATAAATTTAAAATATCAAAAAAAAGTATTAAATCAATTAGATTATTTTATTTTAAATTCTGAAGTNCATAGTTTTGAAGAAAATACTTTACAATTAGAGCTGGCAAATCGGTCGGTCAGATTGGGTTCGGGTTCGGTCACTTCGAGTTCGGGTTACTTCGGGTTCGGGTCAATTCGGGTTCGGGTTGAGAACTGTATGTTCATGACCCAGTGTCATCGGGTTCGGATCGACCCAACGGGTTATGACTTTGGTCTTTAAAATTTTTAAATTTACATTAACACTTACATTTTCTATTTAATAAATTTAAAATATCAAAAAAAAGTATTAAATCAATTAGATTATTTTATTTTAAATTCTGAAGTGGTTTTTAGATATATAAATCAATATAAGAAATTTAAAAAATGCTTAAGTTTTGGAAAAAAGTGAGATAATTATGCAATATCATTAAAATTTTATCAAAAAATATAAATTTATACACTAAAAATGAGTAGTAAAGTGTATGATTTTGAAAAATTCTTACTTTAGCGGGTCGGTCAAGTCGGGTTCGGTTTCGGTCGGGTTTGACCCATTTTTAGCGGGTCATTTCGGGTTCGGTCAACTTCGGGTTCGGTCATCAAAACCTTTGTTCAAAACCCAGTGTTTTCCGGTCGGGTTTCGGGTCAAAAACAGGTCGGGTCATTTTTTGCCAGGTCTATTTACAATATATACTCCGTAAAAAGAAACTATTAATAAAAAATGCCTTTGGAAATAACAAGATTTATGCCTTCGTATATTTATGTTTCTTCTCTTTCCTAATATATATTCTTTAGAGGGTAAATAGTAGGGAGGTTAAGGTCACATACTCACATTCTCTTCAACTTAATCTTAATACTTATTATTTTTTTATTTGAATTAAATAAGATCAGAAATAGATTCAAATGGAACTACATTAGTACATTTAGATCAAATCAGGTCAGATCAATACTTATTCCAATCAGATCATTCTAGAACACAGGAGGACATTCTAGAAAAATACAGAGTAGGTGTAATTCATAGAGTAAGGTATATGGAGGAAATAGTTTTGGGATTTTGCTATACCGGAAGGTAGTGTACCCCAAATGTACATTACTTCCTCAGAGAAGATTGTCTATATGTGTCTGTGAGAAGATAGTATATATTTGGAGTTGGGTACACCTAGGTTTTTCCAATAGTTTTAGATTTAATAACCATTTGTCCCAAAGTTAAAGTCTCGTTTATTATTTAGAGGTGAAAATAATTTAATTTTGCAAGAAATGCCTAATTAGGACGTACTATTACATGGTTAATACGCCAACATAAGACTTTTAATATTTTTAAACCAAAATATGACTTGTAGTGTCAAATTATGTCAAGATATAATGTCAAAAAACATTGTGAAATGTCATTGTTCAATGTCAAATTGTGGCATTTTGCAATGCCAAAACTTCTATAGAGATCATAAAAACATTAGAGATTTTATTTTTTAATATAGGCTTTATGTTTTTCTCTAATTTCATCAGATTTCTTTTTTCTTTCTTTATTTCGTTAATCATTTCTTAAAATTATATAGCTAGTCATATTGCATCTTGTTTTAAAGAGCATTTTATTTTAGTTTTAAAATATATCTACATCTCTTGCTATTACAATTTTTTTATACATTGGAAAATGAATGAATATAGACATTAAGTATGTCTACGCTCATTCATTTTTCAATCATCAAGAAAATTATAATAGTAAGTTAAAAAGGAATGGAGGGAGTACAAAATTTTTATTTTAAAACATTACTTCATCATTTAAATGAATTTAATTAAAAAATTAGTCCATCATTATAATCGAGACCTTAATTTTGGGGCGGAGGGAATAAACCAAGTAATAAATACATACTCTTTGTCTGGATTTAATTGTTACACTTTTCTTTTTGTGATGTCCTAAAAAATATATACACCGTACCATTCTATTTTTACTTTTTAGAATTTTTCTTTAAACTCTATGGTGATTTTGTTCAAATTAAAGAGGGAGTATATTGACTGGACTCATTAAAGAGACAATATTAGGGAGGAGTAAAATGGGTCATAAATGCACAAATTAGAAGCATGATGTTTTTTGAATATAAATAAGTTATTTTTTAAAATAAAGGGTCAATTTTACCCTTATTTGATAATGAGGATGTCCTCATTGTTGTTCTCTCTCAATGTGCATGTTGCAATGACGATTCATAGACCTGGCAAAACTGACCCGGACCCGATAACTCGAACCGAATAACCCGGAACCAAACTCGATTTGACCCGAAAACTGAAGAACCGAAATAGAACCGAACACCCGAAATTATCCGAACCGAACCGAACCCGAACCGAATGTATTCAGACCCGGTTCAGACCCGAATCCGATTAAACCCGAACCGATTAAACCCGAACCCGGTTAAACCCGAATCCGGTTAAACCTGGAACCGATTAGACCCGAACCCGATTAGACCCGAAATTGATCAAACTCATTAATATTTTATTTATCAAATGAATTTGGAAAAAACGAATTACCTATATATTTTTACATATGTTGATGTGTTTCTAAAAAAAACATATTTAAATTATGGGTGCAAACCATGTAACTACTTTCATGTACAAATCTTTCACTTTGCAATTTATAACTTAAGTTAAAATACTTTTGTATTTTTATAGAAAGTATATAAAAATTATAGTTAACTAAATTAACTAAATTTATTATGTGATTTATTCATTTATTAGTATGCATGTGTTTATATTATACTTGAACAAATATAAATTTAAACCGATATAAACTCAAATCTATATAAACCCAAATCAATACAACCCGAATTGATACAAACCTGAATCGATATAACCCGAACCGATACAAACCCGAACCGATATAAACCCGAACTGATATAAACCCGAACCGATACAAAGCCGAACCGATACAAACCCGAACCGAAACCGAACCGAACCGATTATAACATATATCTGAAAGAGACCCGAACCGAAAAGACCCGAACCGGAACCGAACCGATTGACCCGATTGCCAGGTCTAACGATTCATTTCATCCTCGTGAAGATGTCAAAAATATTGCGCCTCAATGTCACTAGACAATTGATGTATCTGAAAAATAATACTCGACCACACATTGCATTTTCCGTGAATTTATAAGCCAAACACAGTCCCAACCATGAGGCACTAGAATGGCATAAGATACATTTTCCAATACCTCAACGATATAATTGACTTTTTAGTGTTCAACCGTATCTTGTGAGATTCACAAAGGCAATACTCCCTCTGTTCTTGAAAACACTTTCCATTTTGACCAAGTGTCGAAATAAGGAAGTGTTAAACTATAGTTAAAATCCAATTTTGCCCTTAACGTGATGAGTAAAAATAAGATGTAACGGACAAACTATTAGAGAAAAAGTATGATGTGATAGCTAAGATAAAGAATGATATGGGTAAAAACAATTTTTTACTCCGTAATAGAAAGTGAAAGTATTTGGTGGAGGAAAAAAATGAATAAGGGATTCTTTTCCCAAAAGGATGGAGTATTTGCAAACATTATATATTGATTCTGATTGACATCAAATGCTGATGGATCAATCTCATCAAAGTAAACGACACACCACGAATGCATATAATAAACTCCTTGCATAGCAGTAAAATGAGGGGGAGGAGATCATGCAATATGTGCAGAGATGCATTACTAGTTTAGTACTGAACAAAAATCAACCAATTTCATAAAATAGGACATGTGATTCATATAAAATACAGTAACAAAAACAAAAAAAAAAATCATTACATAAACAAACATCATCTATGATTCTATATCAAATCATATATATGCTTGCAGAAGAGATGAGTTAGAAGGCAACCTCTATCCTTAACCTCAATTCCACATATGTATACACAATTCAACAACAAAAAATTGTAAAATGCTCTTTGAGCTAAGCCGTTGCTTCCGTTCATCTTATGGAAAAGATATTTCGTGTTTCCGAAGGAATTCTTCCTCTTTTCCCTTCCCAGTTTACCTCCTCCAACAATAGCAGTGTGGTAACTAACACTCAGTGTCTTCTATATAACAAAGACAAGAGGAAAGTAAAAAGAGGCAAAGTTCCAACTCAGATGGGAGTGACCGAATCGCCCTCCAAGCCCCCTCCTCGTCTCTTCTTTCCTTCACCGTGTCTCGACCTTCGTGGGGCCTCGTCCTCACTTTCACTCTCATCATTTCTATGGCTACTTTGCTGCTGATGATAATTAGCTTTGTCGTCGGCTCCCATGGCTGCTGAACTTCCCATCTCTTGAACCTTACCTTGATCTGGCAGTCCACTTCTGTCACTGGGTTCTGCTGCTCTGTGATCTCTTCTACCACGATAAGCATTTTGAAGGGCGTGTGATGGGGGTTGTGGGACGAATGGTGGCCCCATCCCCATTGGGTGACCGCCTCTTGGTGGGCCTAAGAATGGGCCCCTTCCCTGGCCCATCATCGGCCCGAATCCGCCACCGGGAGGGCGGTTATGGAACATCATATCACTGGCAAATCTCGGACCGTAAGGGCCGAAAGGACGCTGGCCCATGCCAAACATGTCCATGGGAAAGCCATCAGGTGTAAGTCCGGGATAAGGAAACCCGTCACCCATCATTGTGGGAGGGAACCCCCTCATCCCGGGGAGGGGTGGCCATACCCCACGTCCTATAGGTGGCATCATGGGAGGCCACGGCATTCCCCTTCCTCTTCCCCTCCCCATGGCCGCTGGTCCAAAAGCTTGACCAAAGCTCTCATCCTCTTCCTCGCTTTCTTCTTCCTCCTCCTCCTCTTCATTCTCTTCAAATGGCACAATATCTGGATTCTCATTCCCACTCTCAATGTCCATACCCTTTGCCTTCTCCTCTTCCCGTTTGGATTCGGCCGCGAGTGAGATTGCCTGAAAGGAATGAACAAGGAACAAAATAAATTTTGGAGTCTAGGTATGCAACACATTTTTGCAAAAGTGAGAAATATTTAAGTTGCAAAAAACCAAGCACTAGATATTACTATCTGCTACAACTTAGCACTCAGTAGCCCTCATGTTGGCCACGGCTTGGTTATCATATTTCTCCACAGCGAAAGCAGACTTATTTCAGACCACAAATATGGTTCATCATATTAACAATGAATAGAGCAACCAACTTTTGTAAACGCAAGAAAATCAAACTTAACATGACCTGGTGGGGTCTGAATGTTATAAATGAGCTCAATAGGATACTGTTATTCGATTTTTAGCAAAGGAACACACATATTTTGCATGGAGGAAAGACTATAAAATAAAATGTGCTACTATATCATTTTCAGAATGAAGAGAAGTTTCATACCATAAGTTCACTGTCTGGCTCAAGATACATCAGGGAAGCCAACTGCTCCCCAACAGAGGCCTCTAGTTCTTGACAATCTCTGCTAATCTGCAGTAACAAGAAGCAAACGTAAGTTGTCCAATGAAATAATAGCTCATAAAAATCAGAGGTTAAATTGTTGAGGCAAAGAAGATATACCAAGGATCATCTAGCTCACTTATTTCATACAGTAAAATTTAAGAAAAACCCATAACATTTTAAAATAAACAGTGAAATTAAGGCTTTATGTGAGGTCCAAAGACATTAAGCGTGAAAAATATGGTCCAAAGACAAGTGGTTTTTGACAACTTGACAAGTAATCTCAATTTTATACATTGTACATTTATACCTTTTCTCAATGATTTTTCCATCTTTAGTCTTACGTTTTTTCCTCTTTGGAAGTTTTAACACCAAAGGATTTATTTCAAATGTAGCAAAAAAAAATAACATTAAGTACAGATTTGACACCCATTATCTCTCCACACCCCAACTAAACAAAGTTGTAATCAATGGTCCATCATCGAATGGTAATAGCTTTGAGGTTGACTAACGGAAGCTATATTTGTGTTTTTGTAGGGCCAATAGTAGGCATACTTCATGTTCTCTTTCATAGTCTTAGACAGAACCCAAGAGATGAGTTGGAAGGCAACCTCTATCTTTTTTCCTTACCTAATAACTTTAAATATCTTGGGTGTGTCATTCAAGACAATGGAGCAATAGAGTATGATGTTAACCAAAGGATTCAAGCCAGTTGGTCAAAATGGCGGAGTGCTTCAGGTTTTACATGTGACAAAAAACTACCTTTAAAATTAAAGGGAAAATTTTACTGTAACCGTGCTGCGATTATACAAACTATACCCTATGGAACAGAGTGTTGGATAGCAAAAGGTGAGCATGAACAAAAGGTTAGTGTGGCGGAAATGAAGATGCTTTGTTGGATGAGTAGTCATACGCGTATGGATAGAACAAGGAATGAAGATATGAGAGCTAAAGTTGGAATGACACCTATTGTAGAAAAGATGGTGGAAACTCATCTTGGGTAGTTTGGACATGTGAAGAAAAGGCCAATAGAGCATCCTGTGAGAAGGGTTGACCAAATGGTGAATAAACATGTCGCTAGAGGAAGAGGTAAACCTAACAAGATTTGGCAAGAAGTGATCAAGGGAAAACCTTCGTGTAAATGATCTCACAACAGATATGATGCATGATAGGGTGCAATGACACCGTTTGATCCATATTGCCGACACCACCTAGTGGGATAAGGCTTTGTTGTTGGTGTATATGTTAAAATAAATGTCATGTCACCACTTATTTATAGAGCTTTTAATGTTGTTTTTTAATATATTTATTTTAAAATTTTACATATATACTTATAGAAATGGAATTGAAAATAATTTTGGTCAAACATTGCAAACCATAAATCGAAGATAATAATGGGACGGAGGGAGTTCTATAAAATAGTAAAAATACATTTTTTGTCTATTTTGAAATCTAAATTCTTGAAGGCATTTACTGTCCTGTTGGCATGGGGTATCATTCACTAACAATGACAATTAAGCTCGACAGATCCACACAGCTTTTTTTTACCATAAATTGAGGACCATAATATGCTTTGATATTCTTGGCAGATAAAAAATGCCACAATGATTGTTAGACAAATGCTTAATGGCTGATTTAGTGAATCTATCTGCGATTGTAGTTCAGGGAAAGATAAGGTATACCCAACTATAGAAGAACACTTCAAACCTCAACTGAAGACACTACTTACTTTTTGCTTTCACCCGCACACTATGTTACAACAATTTTACTTTTTGTATTCACCCACACACTATGGTAAAACCATCAGTTTGGTTCCCTTTAGAAACTAGTCAAACTAACACTTGTTATTTTACCATTCCCTTTCATCTTTCAAAACATAGTGGAAATGTACATATTATAACATGCACGAAAATTCTTGACCATTCATAGTTCGAATTTGTACCTTCACTGGTAAGTTCTCATTATATGGGTTTCTCAAGTGACGGGTTTTCTGGAAGGACAATTCACATAGCTGCATAAAGAAATTGATGTTGTATCCTTGCAGGAGTTATGTAGTCTGAAAAGTAAGTATAAATGCATACAAGATATACAAGGAACCACGAAATAGAGTAGTAAAGTGCAAATATGGTAGATACATTTATAAATTGCCAATTCAACCAAAACAGCAGAGATCCGACCTCACAAAAAAACCAAATGTGCTCACACTGAAAAAAAGAATGATATCCTTTTAAAGTAAAGTAACTCAACAAGAAAAATCAGCATATATATATATATAGTCCAAGCCAAATTTCGTGAGAAACTGTGCAAGAACAAGTTTAACAACAAGATCGACTGATCAGATAAATATTAACTCAAGTAACATAAAAGAAAGGAAAAACAAAAACATAACTAAGGAAAAGTTTCCTCCAACAGAGTTACTCCACAAATCATTCACCCCTGCTATCCACCAGCTACCACCAACCCACCATGTCACATTCCCTCCCACAACCTATCATGATCGACTTCACCCTTAATCACCATTTACGACAAATTATCCAACTATTGACCCTAATACAAAATGCTAGGCATGCATCCTCCAAACCCCACACTCATCAATCTTCAATCACAAACTACGGAGCACAAAAGCAAATAAAATGAAATCATGTTTTTTTCAAAATCAAACACATAAAAAAAGATGTTATCAATCAAGGCCCATAAAACTATAAGTTCATGTCTTAGCGTATGTATTTTCATTCATGAAGAATGTGAGCATGGTATGTTTCCAGCCAACAATATTAACAATAAAAGGTCTGAAAATAAGAAATTTAATAGTGTAGATTATCAAGAAAATAATTCAGAAACAAGAAAAAAATAAAATGCCTATAAGTCAGTAACCAGTGCTTCCATTTGACCAATTGAAAACTATAGTACCTTTAACCATTTCAGAGAAAAGTTCCGCCCATAATGTGCTGTTCCATGCTCATGCTTCCAATTCCCTCCTTTTGCAGCACCACCAATTCTAGATGTCATCTTAGCACAGCCCTAATTACAGAAAATATGCAAGAACTGTGTCAAACAGCTTGTCAGATTCTTATTATTTAAATAAAGTGCAGCATGAATTGGTGTGATTACTTGGAAGGAATTTTGCAATCCCAATCAAAGACCTAATTCATCAATGATATTCATGTTTTCAAATTTGAATTATAGTAAATGTAAGTGTCATTATTTGTGATGCACAAACAAGGTGGTGAAATCCTGACAACCTGAAAGTGTCTAGTCCGGTTCACCGAAAAGATCAAAATGACATTTTCCACAGAGTCAAATGCTTCATTTAGTTTCGCCTCATTGCTTCTTTGTGTAGCCCAAACTCCTTGTTGTACTGACAATTCAAGATTCTCACGATTGCAACTTTTGACTATAAAGTACCTATTTTAACATTGTGATGTCGAAAAAGAAACAAGCAATAACTGGATAAGTAACTAATAGGTTTACTAAAATATTACATAAGGTGCATTTCATTTTCGTAGGAATGATTAAAATCAAAATGAAAGGGGGCTAGAAAGTAAAACATTAGGATGTCTCAAGCAAATAGAGAGAGAGAGAGAAAAAAAAATGGTTGTTATAAAAGAAGCCTTCCTTTTATTTTTCTTTGGACTCCCTCCATCCCAAAAGAAGTTTACACTTTGGCTTGGCAGAGTCCAACAAACGAAAGTGGTGAATAGTAAAATGTGCATGGTTGAAATTTGTTTAGAAGAGAAAAGTGTTAGGCCGCATATTCTTTTTTCTTAATAGCAAAGTAAGGAAGTGTAAACTTTATTTTGGAACATCCCAAATATGAAAGTGAAAACTTCATTTCCGGCCCGAGGGAGTACCAGGCATCCTAATCACTAATCACTGTAAAATAGGTCTAAGAAGATAAAAATCAAGTTTAAATTGCACTGGTGAATGAGATGATACTAAATCATCATATATTCATCTCTTTCATTTTTATTCCTTCCATCCCACTATTTTTGGGACATGAGAGAGCGGCACACAAGTATAGGAAAAATGAAATTGTGTTGTTGATATTGAATTTGTTAAGCATGAATGGATTTGAACTACATAAAATCATACAAAATATGGTATAGAGAAACCATTTGGGACAATCAAAAATAGAAAAAAGGGACAAAAATAATGTGGTTGAGGATTAACTTTTTAAAAGAACAAATAAATTATTTAAGAAATGATCACCATTTGGAGTGAAGGCCATTACAAACAAATTGATTACCTCTCTATGCATATAGAAGACCATAGGTTGCATGGATTGCAAGGTGCTAATATTAGAGGATAGAGCAGAGGGACAGTTGAGTATTTGTAACCTATCATCCAAATAGAGGAATACATCAAATACCATATTTAGGTAGAGTGTTTAAAGTGAGGAATTCCTTAAGTTTTCCATGTGACAAGAAGGTCCGCCGAGATTAGAAAGACGACTCTAAAAGATTGCCATTCGACCAGCTATGTCGTACGGGTCAGGGAATTGGCCAATAAAGATGGATTGTGAGCAAAAGCTGAAAGTAGCAGAAATAAGGACGTTGTGGTGGATCTATATTCTATGTTCATGCCATGTTGGACATAATACAAAACAAGGTGTTCTGTTTTGAACTAGGGGTAGTGTCTACTACTGATAAAGTTAGAGAACGCACATTGTGATGGTTTGGTCACGTCCGCCATAGAAACGCATAGGTAGCAATAAGGAGGGTTGATTGCTTTTGGGTTGCGGAACTAAGAGGAGAGACAGGCCATGCAGCACAAGACCTGGGATAAGAAATTGAGGTAAACCTTTCTCGACACATGAACTCTATGGAGACACTATATTGGAGCTATAGATTCCTTGTAGGGCAGTGTGTAGTGGTTGATTTTCATTCACAATATGTGTAACTATTTGTTAGCGGTCTTCTTGGAAACACACTCTTTACTTCTTTTTTTTTTCTTTTTTTTTCTTTTTTTTTTTGGGGGGGGGGGGGGTTAAGGTAAATTCCTTAGAGTGACTTGCTTGGTTTAGTACTTCAGTTAAAATGCTATTCAAATAAACATGGTACCAAGTGCAAAAGATCCCATCTCAAGTGGGGTCTTGGAATGAAGAAAGAACAATAGATGCAACATTACCTCTTTTGAGAGAGATCGTTTTCAAAGATTAAAACCATCATATCAGTCATGAATGAGGACTTGGTCACTAGACCAGGTTCAGCCGTTAAATTTAAAAGAAAATGGAAAAGGAAAAAAAGAGTGAAACTCCTTTGTGGAGAACATAATTACTAATAAAATAATGCACTATCAGAGTCGAATCTCCCTCCATGGGGTCTAGTAAAGGCAAATCAAGAATCTAGCTCACCATTCCCTTGCTTTTTTGAAGGAGGTGGTTTTTAAGAATATAAAATGGTTAATAACAAAAATACAGTGTGTGTTGACATATGATGATGTTTAACATCACAAATACACTATATACAATAACAGAAAGGACCTTTCTGTAACACTGAGGGGTGTTTAGATTATCACTTAGGGAGCGCTAAGTAGATTGATATTTAAGTAAAATGCTATTGCATTAAATGTTCAGACTGCATTTTGCAAGCGCTTTGAAACACTTAAAATGTATTGTAGCAACTTGACTTCTTGATTTAAGAGTTATGTTCTTTATGGACCAAAATGCCATTTATCAAACTTGTTTTTACATTTTAAGCCATTTTGCACAAAAGGGGCATCTAACACCAAAATATTTAAACACTTCAAAATACAAACATCTAGTAAACACTCAATAAAAATACTGTTCTAAGACTTCAACATTTCACAACAAAAAAATAATAATTGAAAACAGAGTATTTTCAAACCATAAAATGTGTTTTCAGAATCTGCATAGACAATGAAAGCTAGCTGTTCCTTTGGTGGATATCAGAATTAGAATTAACCTTTACAATTAAAAAACATATTGAAACTATCATACTACAGACATATTCTTCTCAACCCAAAACAAAAAGAACAATAAAACCGCATCAAAGATTAAGAAGTTTTGTAAATTTTGGACCCAAGTGATAGGGAGTTAGCTACTAACTTAGGGCTTGAAGATGAAAGCTATCAAATAAGACCTACCTGAATGACTTTAATATCAATCTAAGACTAAAAGTCATGAATATCATGTAATAATTATTTTTAACTATTTTAAGAAAACATTCAAAGAAATATTCTTCACATGTCATACAAGTAAGTTTAATTTAAAAATAGAACTTAACCAAAATTAATGATTTTTAAAAATTTAAATTGATAGGTTCAATAATTGAGCCCTTAAAATGATTGTTTTAATCTTTCAAATCCCAAGTTGATAGATTATCATTTGGTTCCTAAATAAATAAAACTCCAGCAAAAAAAGGCCTTATCTTTTCAAAGTATACATATACTATGGTACATTTATAGAGATTCCAGTAAATTGACCACTTCAAGGAATATCATGTTATTGCACATCATATAATCAACACATATGTTGAGCCAGAGTTAAGTTGTTATGATTGTTTAAATAACTACTTACAGCCAATAGATAAATGAACCAGGTTCATAATTTAAGTACATTATTGATTTTATAACCTAATTAAAGATCTTGAAACTCTGAACACACCTAGATGTTCCTTGAGGTAGGGGTACAGAACTCCTATTGGCTTGATTATGCTGTCCAGTGGCAAGTGTTTGAGTCTGAGTGCTCTGTTGCCCTTGTTGAGCTTGTTGATTCGGCTGCAGTTGAGAAAAAGGGGATTCCATGGTTGAATTTCTAATGGCTTGATTAGCACCATTAGGTCCGTGCACACTCTGAGATTTATCTGCTTGAGGTACAAAATTTGCATTCTTGTTTTGAGAAAATCTGTTTGTGTGACCAAAGTTGTAGGATACTAAATGCTGAATCTTCTGAAGCACTTCCTCTACAGGAGGTGGAGGTCCAGGAAGCTTGGCATGCCTATACCGGCAATCAGGACCATTCGGGCAAAATCCCAGTTTGTACCTGAAAGCATAACCACCCATCAGAAAAGCATTTAACCCTATGTGTATAAGAAAAAAATATTAATTCTATCAAATCATAATGGGGTATGATTTTAGCAACAATAAAAGAGTGCTGCAGCATATACATATGGACATATTGCACATTATCTGTGTGATAATCCTTTTTCTAAAGAACAGAAAGCAAAATTAAATCTATTTTAGAGAGGAGGCGAATCTCACATGTTGCACTCCTTGATGTCTTCATTTGTATGCTTATAAACACAGTCCTGTTCGCGACACTCGCCATAAAGCCGGAAGAAGCGGCATATAGGCATCCTGGACTTGTCATACTGATGTAGAAAGCCGCAGGCCTCGCCTTTCATGCAGAGAGATCGCAGCCAGTGCCGGCACACAGTCTGGCGAAAGCTCCGACGGTTTCCTCCCGTTCCGAATTCCGGCACGGCGCCGGAAGGGGCTGGAGCGACGGTTGATTGGTTACTGTGATTTGGGCCGGGAGTGGCGGCATTCTGGTCCGATGATTCGATTACGGGTACGGAAGCGGTGGGGTGAATGGGGCCAGTATCGAGCCCTCCTTCAAAGTCGAAGCTTAGAGCTCCTTCTCCATCGTCCATTGGATCTTTTGCTGCTATACTTCTGCTTTCTCTCGTGACAGAAATTGGGGTTTTTGTGCTAGTGTTTGTTAGGGAGAACTGAGAAGGATTGGGAGGATTTGGGACTATTGCTCAATTGGCCTGTCCCAAATAGTGTCAAACTCTTTCTAGTTCCACTAATCAAAACTTAGACACCATAAACTGAGTTCTATATGGTACATCCGGATGTACCTAGAGATAGGTACATCCATGTAGTACTCATTCCGAGATAAAGTAGTACTCATTCTCACACAAGCATAATAGTTCATTTGAAAAACGTGGTAATCATTATGAAATAACGCAATACTCATTCAGAAATAACGTCGTATTCATTTTCACAAATTTATTCAATATTCATTTACGTATAACATAACATTCATTCTAAAACACATTAGTACTCATTCCCATATGTAGTACTCAATCTTAAACAACCTACCATTCATATCATACTGGAAATCGCGAAGAAAAGATCTGGAGCACCGGAATCGCAAAGAAAAGATCGGGAGCAACTGGAATCGCGATCAGATCTTCGCATATCCAAGCAGCTGTCGCTGATCAGACCTTCATTATTCAATTGCCGATCGGACTTCCAAACAACCTCCATCTTCATCGTGAATCGCCGATTGGACCTTCGCGCAGCCTCGTAATCGCCGATCGATCGCGCCGCCTCCTTCTCCTTCATGGTCGGCCGTTCTTGCAGCAGGTCCCAGTTTGGCGTTTGCCCTAATTAGTTGCCGGCTGTACGGTTCTTCCCGTACAGCCGGATGTACAGTATAATTTGCGCCAGAAACCGGAGAGTACACACACAAATTCTAATGATCAAATAAACAGAATAAAGGAATGCTAGGAGTATACCATTTGGGTTACTCCATTTGTACACTATCAATCTTAACCCTCCATTTCTTTTTTCATTTATACTCCGTAATTCTTTTTCCTCTCTTGCTTTTGTGTGGTGGAGATGTAGGGGGTACAAATGGGGTACCCCAAATGGTGTACCCCTAGTTTTTTCAACAGAATATACCTTCGGAGTATGTAACAACATAACATAATTTTAAGGACTTTCGTAATTTATTTCAAATAATATGGGATCTCATACAAGGAAAAGATGATACCCTGAATATATTATAAATAATGTGGATCTGAGATATCTTAACAAAAAATCGAGAATATTCTAAATTAATATTTGTGCTAGTGTCTGAAAGTGTCAAATTTTAATAAGTGTGTGTGACTTGTTACTTAAAGCATTACACAAAAATTACATAAATACACATAAAAAGACCCACAACATACATGGAGCGAATTGGTCAAGGGTGTGAGAGTGGAAAGACAGAAGGAGAATGCTCTGTGTGGAGGGGTCTTCTAGATGATTAATCATATTTTTTTGTCTTTCTCCTTTTAGAGATTTGTTTTGTCAAAAAACCAATTCAACCAAAAGTTTAAACTTGTGGTTGTAGTCTATGGATGATTTATACGGAGTATATACTTTAACACACCCCCTCACATGCAGGATGACTTCTTGAAGCCTTGCATGTGAGATCTTAATTTTTTAAAATTGGGCGGTGAGTTTCGAACTCATGATCTCTTAACCAATAAGGCTCTCATGCCATGTCAAGGAACAAATTCAATCAAAAGCTCAAAATTGTGGTTGTGGTCTAGGAATTATTTTTATATACTCTAGCATGTTTAAAACAGTTAGGAAAGGGAAGGGAGGGGTTCATTCGGCTCTTTAAAGATTTATTCTAATATGATTATCAACACAATATGTTGTTGGATATTTGGATTATAGTTTGGGTGGGCTAGGGATAGTGGAAGGCGCAGAACTCCATGGTTTGAAAGCAGCACGTGTCATTCCGAATGTGACTCGATAGTTGGTGTTTGCAATATATGGATGACACGCCGACCAATAGGTTTGTTGGAGTGCAGAAGCAGGCAAGCAGTCTATCGTCATTATCGTGTAGCAAGATTCAGTCCCACATCCGTCGGCATTGCAATGTTTCATTGATGCCAGCAGCATGTAGCCTTTTCCTGTGAGACGATTATATTGCATCTCCTTTGAGTGGGTGCTCCTACTTTGGAGGGAGCTATCGTGCCAGTGGCAATTGGCAAATGTCAAGAGAGATTGATCTCAAAATCCACTTATAGATAAAATTATTGTTTGTAAGGAGACACTTTTCTAAATTGAAAGCTACAGACACTCTTGGAATTTGAATAAAATGACTCATACCTGACAAAAAGTTCTAGTGTTCACGAATTTTTGGGAATATGTTCCACCAAACTTTGTTTTCCATTGACTTGCTCATCTGAGGTCCTTCTCAATCACCAAATACTTCATTAATCTTTTTTTTTACATATTATGAATTACTTGTCGTTATAGGGCAAATTTAGTAAAAGGGTATGACTCCCTTGTACCATTTTTTATTAATGATAAAATAGTACTAATACCTCTGTTGCTCCGTGGTTTGTAAAATAAACATCAATATTTTCTTATTTTTAAAATTTATTTCTAAAATCTTCATAGTTTCAAAACGTTGCACTCATAGCCCCTCTGATTAATTTCCGGCTAAGAAGAAGGGATTGATGTCTATTTTCCAAATCATATAGGACGCTGGTAACCATTTCTTATTTTACCAAGGTTCCCATGACATTGGAACCCAATGTTTTTCATTTACTTTTGTTTTTTCTCATTTTTTTTCCTTTATTTGTTTCTTTTATTAATCAAGGTTTTTAATTTTTTTAAAAAATTGTTTTATAATGTTTTTAAATTTAAAATAATTTTTGTTGAAAAAAATAATTAACATACACTGCATTAGTAAGCCTCAAATTAACAATTTAATTTTTTTTTTCTGAAATAAAAAAGTAATTTTTTTAGAACTTCAAAAAATAAGAAATAAAATAAAACAAAAAAATGAATATCCTTTTCAGATATCTCAGTTCTAAGGAATTTTTAAGCATACTAAAAATTCTTTTTTTTTGTATAAGACTCTTTTATGTATGTTTCAATTTTTTTCATCATGCTTTTCCATATTTTTATTTTTATTTTTTATTCTGGATTTTCTTTGTGAACTTACCAAAAAAAATTATTCTATAAAACAAAAAGTAAAAATGTTTAGTTTGAAATAGATGTAATATATGTCAATTTTATATTTTTATTTTTATTTCAAACACAAAAACTTTTAAGGTTTTTAAAACATTATAAAAAATTGAAAAGAAATTAAAAAAATTTTATAGGAAAAGGAAACAAAGAGTTAAATAAGGAAAAAAGCTAAATAATAAAGAAAAAATAAAAAATGAACAAGAGTGCCCTTTATGATTTAGAAAATAGGCATCAATGTCTCTCCTTTGCCAAAAAATGATCAGTGAAGGTGTTAATACAATGTTTTGAAACCACAAAGATTTTAAAAATAAATTTTAAAAAAAAAATATTAGTACCAATTTTTCACAGGGAGCACTAAAGTTATTTCATCTTTGATTAATTGATCAACCTTAGACCAGATTGAACTTGGTTTTTTTGTTTACTGAATGTTGGTGGNCCCCCCCCCCCCCCCAAAAAAAAAAAGAAAAGAAAAAACTGATTGTAAACTCTGTATGGGGTACTCATTTACTAGACAATTAAATCTCCATCGTGAAAAAAAAGGGAAAACAAATTTGCAACAGAAGAAGACTTCCCAAGCCGGAGCTGTTGCATCAAGTTAAATGACCTGTTAAGTCCCACCAATTTGTAACATCAGAAACTCTACAGTCTACATCCAAATACTGAAGAAAAATAATCTATTAGACAATTAAATTCCTGCAAAAAAACAAGAAAAAAAACATTGCACAAAAAATTACTGCAATGAAAAACAGAGTCTGTGATGAATGAATGAATCAGGGGAGGATCTTTCTGCGACGCCGCGGGGTTTCCCTCTTCACAAACATCTTCTCAAAATCATCAAGAGGGCGAGTGGACCCGTCTGCAATGCTCACAAACTTCCAGCCCCCGCCGTTTCCGCGCTTCCCGCGGGACCCCAACTTCTCAACTGTGAAGTTCCATCCCTGTGCTGGCCGCATCCGGCTGTGCTTGTGGCACTTCACTTTCTTCTCAAACTGAAAAAATGGAAGGACAGCTTCAAGAATTAATCAGACATTTTAAATATGTAAAACCCTTTTTTGGTCTCTTTTGGGCTTTTGGCTAACCTTCATCTTGTTAAAGTTGAACCTCTGGACAAATTCACGGTACAGCATCTCATCCTCTTTCATTGAAATTTCATAGTGGACCTCGTCGGGGTCCCTGGTCGTGCCATCCCAACCCTCAGGCATGACCTTGAAGTCTGGCTTGTAACACAGGGTTGCCACATGGAATTCTCTATCATGGGAATTGTAAAATCTGCGTATGCCATTTAGTCATCACCATCAAAAGTAATTTCATTTTTATAAATTTTAAAACCGCATCGTTCTCAATCATATGAGCATAAACTTACTCTGGGTTGTTATCAATCAAGGACTCAAGGGTGCCATCAAGAGGGCGTCCCAATTTCTTCTCCTCCTCCTCCTCCTGCTCTTTCAGCCACAGAATTGCATGCACCCTCTGCCTCATGATCCTGTACTCTTTGGCCAGCTTCTCAATAGTGTATAGCTCAGGATTCGACTTGTGCTTCTTGAACATTTCGGTTTTTTCGGAATCTTTCAAATATGATCCCCTCGCCCCTGGTTCCATAACCTACTTGAAATAGTTGCATCTAGACATGATTACATGAATACAATATCTTCTTTTCTAAAAAAGCTCCCAATTCAAATACTGCTCCAGCAGAACAGACAAGGCGACAAGCTCATATGATTTTTATTCTTCTATTGAATGATTCTAATTCCCAAAATCAACCAGTTGCCTTTACTGATTCTAGAGAATCAAGCCGTTGATTGATTCTAAAAATCAGATCCTAGTGAATTGAACACCAACTTGTTCTAGCCAAAATGTGAAACAAACACATCACCAGATGAGTCTAGCTAATCCTGAGGATTAGAGTAAGCAAAATCAGCTGAAAATCTAAACCAAATGAGCCCTACATTTGTCTAGCTATAAACCCCTAAAGAATTGCAAAATACATATGAGAAAAAGTATCCTAATTAACTTAGCAAAAAAGAAGCAAGAAATGTGGGGTTAGCAAATACCTGCTTCATCATCGTAGCAATGTCTCTCATCCTTCCATCCCACCCCTTCACAAACACCTCTGACTTGCGAACATCCTCCTCAAGACGGTTCAGTGTAGCTATTTCTTCTTCTGTCATTCTGGCAGCTCCCGAGTGTGAAGTGTTTGTCTGTAATTGTTTCCCCACAACCTCCCCAACAAAATGCTCCTTCGTTAAGCCAATAGACCAAGATGACCCGCTTTCCCAACCAATTCCTTCAGAGGACTTCAAATCTCCAAAATTAGTAGTCAATCCAGGCTCTTTATCAGGCTTGGATGAGAACGGCAATGAAAGCCCAATGCTCTTCAATGGTGTTGAAATTAGTTTTCTGGTTGGATTTGTAGGGAGACGAGTAAATAGCAAACTTTGTAGAATGTGCATGATGAGGGAACTCAGTCAACTCAGCCGAAGACGGTGGCTTTGTGATTCAAGAGTGAAAGTTGATCTGATATTTGATAAATGTTAATCACTACAAGTATTTTCCAATTTCTAGCTCTACATTTGTACTTCCCAGAAATTGGCAATGAGGGTTTGGGCTTTGAATGACAATTGTGAATTTTTGTTTTCGACTTCTTAGGATACATAAAAATGCAGTTTTGGGCCAATTTTCTTATAAAACCGAATTGCTAAAGTAACAACAGTACACCACTTATGATTGTTGGAGCATTAACTAGTATTAGACCATGCATGCAAAAACCTATCCATAACTTTCCCAACATATCATGTCTCTACAGTAAATCATTAACGATCGTGGAGCCTTAGGAAAAAAACTATCAATATCCTTCACAACATATCAAGTTGGCACAATAACAAATCAAAGTGGGATACACGTGCAGAAAGCTGTCCATTATTTGACCTTTTTATCTAATCAACATAACACAACTCTCAAATAGAATGCATTATCACATGCAAATGAAATAAATTACAGAATTTTTAAAATGCAAATTAAAAGTAGATGATGTTTGTAAATTCTTATATCAAAACCTAAATAAGTAATGGATTTACCGGTATTTTGAAGTTCTTGATCAGATTTTTTAAATTAGTACAATTGAAGTATGTGAAAATCTTGTCTGTTTAATTAAAAACAATACAACAATTTTTTTTCAGAATCTCTACAGTTCTACACAATGATTCATCATTTAAATATGTATGTGTGGACCATTGACAGAGTTTATCAGTCTCTCTATAGCATTCAATAATGGACTAATCATGTAATTTATCAATACGATAGATCCCCATTAACTAATATCTTTTTAATTTGTAATGGTCTGACATACTCCCTCCATCCCAAACTAAACTTCTCACTTTCTATTTTTGAATATTAATTGTCCCCAAATAAACTTTCCATTCCTTAGAAGGAATGGAATAGGTGGTTCACACTAATTCTCTCTCCACTGCATAAGTCTCCCCAAACAATTTCACTTTTTATTAAACTTTGTGAAAAAACAAACGAGAAGTTTAATTTGGGATGGAGGAAGTGTATGTTAATTTGGGGCATTGACTCTATGCACTTCAACAATGCACTCTTAGTAGTACTCTAAAAGCAACTACTCCATGTGTTCCTAGATAAGCTCCATCTTCACTTTCAAGACAACTTTTTTTTAAAGTTAGAATTATGTAGCTTAGATTTATTTATAAACTTAAGACAAGCAGACCACGCATTTGTTTATTTTAATGTTTTAAAACATGTTATCACAGTATCCTTTCTAGCATATAGATCTATCTTATTCATTACTCCGTATAATACTGCAGTTCGGTTTTCAATTCTTAATATAAAAGTGTGTAACTGCTAACTTTTTATAATTTGCTTTAGTTATGTCCTATGATCCTATGTTGTTTTCAATGAAATATAGGGTTTTTGACTTTTTGTGCAGTGTAATGTAAATGGAAAGTATAGAAATGATTATAGCTATTTTCACAACAAAACTCAAGCTTTTTGAAATGTATACCAGCACAAACAATAAAGGCATGAATACCGTTCTCCCGCTATATTAATTGAACTAAGAATAATAATTTTTCTCAAACCAGAAATCCAGCATCTCCACATAACATTCTTTTACGTAAGCAATAAAAAAAATGTTAAAATGCACATTTATATACGGTCAATACAGAGTGTGCAATGGGGTGTAGATAATAGCAAAAGTTAAAATTAGTACAAATATTTCAATTTACAAAAACCCAACTTCACAGATTCAAATGATAAAAAGATGTTCTAGAATTTGAAAGAAGAAAAAAAAGAAATTAATTATCGGAACCGTGAAAGTACACTGTAAGGTGATGTTTCGGATTTAGAATTTTGAGCATAAATCTTAGAATATACAGGAGCACTAATGATAAAAACATCCACTAACTGTGTTTTATGTCAAGATAATAGAAATGATACATGATTTCTGTTTTAAGGTAGTTGACGAAGATGGAAGCGAAGCAGCGAAAACCAGAATGGAGGCTATAATTAGAAAAACCTGGGTACGGAAGAAAGAACGGTGAAATCTCCTTCTCGAATATGAATTAGTCCGGAAACTAATGGGAATCGATTTGCGAAGTCGGAACCTGGATGGCAGCGATCGGCGGCCGGCGAGTCAGCGAGGCAGGGTACCCCTGAATTGAGATTTGGGCAGCAGCGAGGCCTTTGAAGTCCGAATCTCAACGTCAGTCGGGATGGTGGCAAAAATAACCAAATGGGTGGGCAAGAATCAGCTGATTCTTGCCCACCCATTTGGTTATTTTTGCCACCATGGCTCGCCCGACAGACGTTGAGATTCGGACTTCAGAGGCCTCGCTGCTGCCCAAATCTCAAATCAGGGGTACCCTGCCTCACTGACTCGCCGGCCGCCGATCGCTGCCATCCAGGTTCCGATTTCGCAAATCGATTCCCATTAGCTTCTGGACGAATTCATATTCGAAAAAGACATTTCACTGTTCTTTCTTCCGTACCCAGGTTTTTCTAGTTTTACCCTCCATTCTGGTTTTCGCTGCATCGCTTCCATCTTCGTCAACTACCTTAGAACAGAAATCATGTATCATTTCTATTATCTTGACATAAAACACAGTTAGTGGATGTATTTATCATTAGTGCTCCTGTATATTCTAAAATCTATGCTCAAAATTCTAAATCTGAAACATCACCTTACAGTGTACTTTCACGGTTCCGAAAATTAATTTTTTTTCTTTCAAATTTGGAATATCTTTTTGTCATTTGAATATGTTAATTTGGGTTTTTGTAAATTGAATTATTTGTACTAATTTTAAATTTTTCTTATTATCTACACCCCATTGCATACTCTGTATTGACCGTATATAAATGTGCATTTTAACAAATTCTTTTATTGCTTACATAAAAGAATGTAATGTGGAGATGCTGGATTTCTGGTTTGAGAAAAATCTTGAACCAAAGAAAGACAGTTCTTCAAAGTCAGCTCTCAATATCGAGTTTCCAGTGTGTAAAAATATTAAAATGATAGAAAGAAAAATTTAGTACCTTGGTTTCTGTTCAAGCAGAGTCACTAGTAAGGGTTCCTAAGTTCACTTTAGATTCTACAGCTAGAAATAGTGAGCACATACAGTAAGTAGAAAGTAGAAACCAATGAGATAACATCGCAGCAAGAAAATTGTGAGGGAGATGTAGAAATCAATTAGATAACATTGAAGTAAGAAACCAGCAGAGTAATATTGCAAATGAGATGAATAAGGGATATAATAGAAGCAAGAAAATGGAAGTTCTTGAGGAAAATGTAAGGAGTAATATTAATAAGAAAAAGAAACTGTTGGGAGTAATCTTACTCAGTAAGATAAAGAAAATCATCATTATGCAAGTTTTAACATAAGTATTCGAATTCTGCATGAGTTTCACATTTTGGGTTATGCACTCAAAAATCAGTACCTTGGTTTCTGTTCAAGCAGAGTGCCAGGTAAGTGTTACTAAGTTCACTTTAGAGTCTACAGCTAAAAATAGTGAGCACATACAGTAAGAAGATAAAGTATCCCTTAGTTTAAAAGATATAAAAAGAAGTAATTTGTAAGTAGAAGGCACAAAACAAACATGCTCCCTCTGTCCAAACTAGATGCATATATCTTATGATGATATATTATTGGGCATGGAACCAAAGGTTTTCACTTGAGTTAAGAGGCCGTTGAGCAAGATCCTTGGAATGAAGGAGGTTTGATGATGAAGTACTCGAGCTAGAAGAAATGGGTAGTATGATACATTTTTTTAGAAAAGAAATATAATAGCACTTTGCTCACTAGTGGGTTGAAAGCACAAAAATGAATGCTTGAGATGGTTTGTTTGTGAATATTCTAAGGTGTTTTATGTGTCATAAGTGAATTTACTATTAAGAGAAAGAACAACATAGCAGGGAAAGAATTTACCCTATGCTGTATATACTAAGTATTTTTTATCCAACCTTTTTCTCCATCTTAAAAGAAATTTTAAAATTTTCATTTTAAATAATCCAATAATAAATTACTGTTAGATATAATAATAGATTCATTGTTCTTGTAATGGAAAAGGATTTCAGAATGAGTTTTTTGCAGCTTGTATAAAATCATATCAATTAACTATCACTAATGATAATTTTGGGGATAAACAAAAATTGAAATAAAAAAAATTTACTCCCTGCATCGGAAGAAAAGAACACCAAACCTAAAAACAACTAATTGGCTCTTTCCCTAAGAATACAAAATCAAATGATCAGGATACAATATGAGAAACCCAATAAGAAACAAAAATTTGAAGAAAACGTAAATCTGGGAAAGAAAATACCTAGGGTTCGGGTTGATTTTCTGTCGGCGTGACCACGAGATTCGTGTGGAAAAAGTAGAAGAGGGCAAGTCGGCGGTGATATTGCAGTGAGAATCGACGGCTAGATTTTGGTGGTTGAGTTCGCCGATCTGATGGAGTCTGCGGGGGACCTGAGAGAGGTTGGGGCGGAAAAGGATGCACTGTAGTCTATGCGATCTCCTCAATTAATTTTGGAATTCAAGCGTGGTATTGTGGATGCACTTTACACATTCATTCATTATTCGTATTCGAAAACAATAATTCGTATTTGCTATATTTGAATTCGAATCCGAATACAAATCATATTTTAGATTCGAATTATATTCGAATTCGAATACAAATATTAATAAATTTGATTTGTTTATTATTCGAATTATTCGAATATTATATTTAATAAATAAATTTATATATATACTAATATATTAAATATTTGTGTACATATTTTAACATATTTTAATATATTAAATTTTTGTGGATGCACTTTACACATTGATTCATTATTCGTATTCGAAAAGAATGATTCGTATTCGCTATATTCGAATTCGAATCCGAATACAAATCATATTTTAGATTCGAATTATATTCGAATTCGAATACAAATATTAATAAATTCGATTTGTTTATTATTCGAATTATTCAAAAATTATAATTAATAAATAAATTTATATATATACTAATATATTAAATATTTGTGTACATATTTTAACATATTTTAATATATTAAATTTTTGTGTACATATAAATTTATATAACTTCAAATATTATAATTTATAAATAAATTTATATATATTCTAACATATCTTTACTACATTTTACATTATAAAATAATACTCCCTCCGTTCGGAAATTTTCTTCTCATGTTGACTTGGCACGCTTATTAAGGAATAGTAAAAAAATGCAAAATTTTCAAAAATACACAAACTATAAACTTTTAAATCTTCTTTTATTATTAAAAAAGTATTAAAAAAGTAGATTTGTGATAAAATAGAAGGGTATTATTGATATTTAGCTTTAAAAAGCATACTTAAAAAGGAAATGGGAAGATTATTTCCGGACAGACCAAAAAGGAAAATGGGAAGAATATTTTCGGACGGAAGGAGTAATTTAATGTCTTTAAGAAATCTATTTTAAGAAAAAAATTACTAATATTTTCGAATTCGAGTATTCGAATACGAATTCAAATACGTCAAATATCTATCGAATCGAATACAAATATTTTTAAAAATTCGAATTATATACGAATCCGAATTCGAATACATATCACTTTAATTGAATACGAATCGAATAGTGATATATTTGCTTCGATTCGATTCGTATGCACCCATAGGCGCTGTCAAATGCTAAATCTGTAGTAGTGCAGATTCAGTTGTCTTTGTTTTCTGATCTCGTTTTTATAAGAGTAAATTCAATAATTAGTCTTTTATAACGTGGGGTTTTCATATTTAGTGCTCTATTATAAAATATTACCCCCATAGTCCTTTTTTCCGGGTGTCTTTCCACAAATGATCTGTTTTTTGATCTTCTACTATATTGGTGTTAATTTAAAAGCTTCAATATTATGTTTAGTGACGTGTTCTGATATTGGTTAAGTGGATAACACAAAAATAATGACTATGATTGTGGGCTAGGATTCCGACGAAATACCACATTTGAAGACTATGGTTGTAGTTGAAAGCGACTGTAATTCACAAATGACGTAAGCAGAACAACCTTTGGAATTTTGTATGACAAAAAAGATATATAATCATTGTGAAATTACAATTTTAGCCCTTAAATTAACAACAACATGATAGAAGATCCAAAAAGAACTATTTGTGAAAAGATATCCATAAAAGAAGGACCACTGATGTAATATTTGATAATAGAAGACTAAATAGGGAAACCACCTTGTTATAAAGGACCAATTATGAAATTTACTCTTTTTATAATGTGTTGGTTTCTTTTAGAACAGAGTTTTAACTCGAATCAATTTAAAATAAGAAAATTTTCCTAAATGACAAATTCTAAATGACAAATTCTATGATAAACCTAAGGTTCATCGTAGACTTACATATGAGTAAAATAAGCATTTTTTACTATATAAATAACCATTTGTTTTTTTATTAAAAAAATAAAATAAAAATTTTTTATGTGAGAAGATCCACATAAATATTATGCACCCAAGGTACACCAAAGAAGCACTCTAGCGCATTGGGTTCAGTAGCCAATATTCTTGTGTTGATTTTAAGGTAAAGGTCATTAACTCCTATTTTGGAGATTTTATCTTTCAACTATTATTTTAGGATTTAATCAATAATTTCCTCCTATTTTGGTAAGTGTAAAATATTAACAATATACCAAAATAGGAATTCCATATATTTTATTTCTGAAATAGAAGTTAAAATGCATTTATAATACCAATCATGATCATGTACATTACCAAAAAGCAGATCCGGTTGGCCGGCCCTGAAAAATGAAAAAATAAAATTGGTCTGGTCCAAAATTTACGTTTTTGGCCCTATTTTTTTTAGAATATTTATACTTTAAAATTAATGCTGAATTTAAAAACATGATGCCCTAAAATTTTAGTGACCCTATGCGATTGGGCACTTTGCACACCTTTCGGGTCACCCATACCAAAATGTATAGTAAAATGCTAATGTACAGTGTCATATTACCATAGTGTGAACTCGTATTTAGAAAATAAAAACATGGAACTTCTATTTTGGTACTTTCACTATGTTTTACTCTTATTTAAGGTGATCTCTTTTAAAATAAAACGGGACCAGGACAAATAAAAATATCTTGTTTCGTCTCGTTGTCCCGTATATTTATGATTCTATTGAAGAGTGATGCTTACATGGTCTCAAAGTCCACATTTAAAATATGGATCTTTTCAGATTTTAATGGGCTTACATGTGGAATTTTTATAAAAAAAATCTACTTCTTTTATGCTACAAATGCACTACAGTCTATAAAATTAGCATGGACATTCGGTCCAAGGAAGAATTTGCCTCTATTGAAATATTCATTTACATTACTTCTTTAATTCAATTTCATAAGATTTGTGAACAAAAGAATTTTTGAATTATTTGTATATGTTTTTATTGAACTTCTATTTCAGAATTTATTAAAAATGTTTGCATAAAATTTTATTAAAGGTTTTTAGGGCTAACATATTAGAGACTATAATTTTTATGTTTATGTTTTTAAAAAAGTTCAAATAAAAACATTCCAAATTGTTCTGAATTGTCTTGGTCCAAAATGAAAGGGACAACTTAGGACAATGTCGTGTCCTATATCGTTCTGACCCGTTTCTATAAAACGAGATTGGGCCTGGGAAAATTACCATTAGTAGGAACCGTCAATTTTACGAATGGGGCACCGGAGCCCTCCCGGGCCCATGACATTGATTCCTAATGTTATGGGAACCTTTTTGTTACATCAATTAAAATGAAAAGAGAGACCATTAAAAATACAAATCGGATAGAAATGAATTTTTTAAAAAAATTGAAATCAACCCAGCTATTTTACATTATACCCAAACGGGCCCTAATCCTGCCCACTCCGTCTAATCTACACCTACTCTAGCAGTAAGCGGCGGTTTTCCTTCCTCTACCGCGCCGGAGATCTCTTTACTGATAAAGTTGTGCCATTAAATAATAAATGTATTGATGCACTTCTTGAACCTATTATAACTTTGATATGCGCTACATTTTATGATAGAACGCTGGGGAGCCAGAGCGTCTTGCGTTTAGCGCTATGGAAGAATACGGAGGGATCACGCTCACAAAGAACGTTGGTAATCAATTGGAATACAAACACCTAAAATCAAAGCTAGTTTATTAATAAAAAGCTAATCCCAAACGGACCCTATCTATGACCAGCATGTAGCGTTAGCATTTTCAGAGTTAATATGCACTATTAAGATTTTATCTCTAACACTAATAAAAAAATTATTACCAAACGGGCCATTAATCATTGTCTTTTATGTTAGAGTAAATTCCATAATTGGTCCTTTATAATAGAGGGGTTTCCCTATTTAGTCCTCAATTATCAAATATTACCCCAGTGGTCCTTCATTTATAGGTATCTTTCCACAGTGGCGGAGCCAGAATAAGATTGTTGGAGGGGCACCAACTACATTACATTACAGGGTTCGGTTCGAAGGGAACACCAAAAAAATTTCCGAACACAACATAAAATGATAAAAGGATGTACAAATATTTTTCCTTTCTAGGATGACAAACTTTTTATCTAATAGGGTATACTACGTATAAAATTTGACCATTACAATAATTCCAAATAAAGTAATTTGGGTCCAGATTTTGATCATCAATAAATATACGAGTAATTTTTATAGATACTAAGTATGGAATAAGTATTATAAAGTTTGAAATAGAATATATTAAAATTGCATCTTAAAAATTAATCTAATTGTATTAATTTACATTATAAGTAAAATGATTCTTTTTGAAATTTATAGTCCAAATTTGTAAAAGAGAATAAAAAAAATTAAAAGAATTCCTTGGAGACTGTTAAATGACAATTACCATTTAGTGAGCTCGAGTGAACATAGAGCAAAGTCAATCTTCTTTTAAGCATTAAAATAATGAGAATTCACCATTCAACAAAACAAGTTACTCCGTATTCAACAACTGAGGAGCAGTGGAGCACTCCGTATTTACTAATTAAAGGATTAAATGAATTGAATTGTTCTTAACCTGAGATTGGTGGACGGAAGATGCAGCGGTGCCTGGGTGGAGTAGCTGGGTCCGACGTAGCGGCGTCCGGCAACGGCGCTACTGCAGGGGTAGAGCCGCCGGGTTGGTGCGTCAAGGGGAAGAGGTCAGGCTCTATGCGATTTGAGATCCGAAATTCCAAATAAACTCCTTAATTGATTTTTTTTNTGAGGAGCAGTGGAGCACTCCGTATTTACTAATTAAAGGATTAAATGAATTGAATTGTTCTTAACCTGAGATTGGTGGACGGAAGATGCAGCGGTGCCTGGGTGGAGTAGCTGGGTCCGACGTAGCGGCGTCCGGCAACGGCGCTACTGCAGGGGTAGAGCCGCCGGGTTGGTGCGTCAAGGGGAAGAGGTCAGGCTCTATGCGATTTGAGATCCGAAATTCCAAATAAACTCCTTAATTGATTTTTTTTAGAAATATCCTAAATTTAATTGGAGCAAGAACTAATTAAAAAATTCATCCTCAAAACGACGACGTTGCACTAAGTTTTTCTTTTTAAAGAATTTCAAATCCAATCAAAGAATAACGAGAAGGAAGAAAGGAACTGCTCCTGCAGCATCACCGATGGGGCACCTCTTCGCCGAAAGGATACAATCGCCGGTCTCACACCTCTTCACCGGACAATCGCCGGGGGGGCACGTGCCCGGACAGCCCCCCCTTCCTCCGCCCCTGTCTTTCCATAAATGGTCCTTTTTTAATCTTCTATCATGTTAGTGTTAATGTGAAGGCTAAATATATAATTTGACATCAACATTATGTCTAGTGACGTGTTCTGATATTGGTTTAGCGGATAACACAAAAATAATGACTACGATTGTGGACTAGGATTCCAACGAAAGACCACATTTGTAGACTATGTTTGTAGTATAAAGCGGCTGTAATTCACAAACGAAGCAAACGAAACAGCCTTTAGAATTGTGTAATGTGTATGACAAAAAAGATATATTATCGTTGTTAAATTACACTTTTAGCCCTCAAATTAACACCAACATGATAGAAGATAAAAAAGGACTATTTGTGGAAAGATACCTATAAAAGAAGGATCACTGGGGTTATATTTGATAATTGAGAACTAAATAGAGAAACCACCTTATTATAAAGGACTAATTATAGAATTTACTTTATATGTTATTTTAGGTAGGTACTTTAGAATGGTGATTTCACTGATTTGTAAAAAAATTAATACTTTGTAGTTTTTTTTCAAAATAAAAAAAAGTACTCCGTAAAAAAAATACTCCCTCCGTCTCTAAATAGATTACAATTTTTTTCTCTTCTCTCGATAACTTTTGTTTATTTACGCGATTTCATTAAGTATTTGATAAAATAAAATATTCTTGTCACCTCTTCTTTGGTAGAACTTTTGACGTAGTTTTTTAATATGTAATTTTTATATTTTATTGATATACCAATTTATAAATAAAATGATTTCAAAAAATAAAAAATTTTACTTTGTAACCCTCAATTTGTAATCAAATTGGGGACGGAGGGAGTAATTTGGAACCAGAACCTACAGAACAGGACAGTGTCCAGGACTAGTTACTCCCTCTCCTCCATCGTAAATTATATCCTACATCCGGCTGTAGGAAGAGAACTGGCCGGAGCATGGAATCCGACGATTGAAGAGGAAGAAGAGGAGGCAGCGATGTCAGGTAGATCCGATTGGATTAGAGCAGAGATCCGAGCCGGCGTGGATCATGGAAGAAGATGATGACGATGGATGATTGGGAGTAGAGATCCGATCGGCGCCGCTCAATTTTTGGGAGAGAGATCCGACGAAATAGTCCGACAAAAAGGTGAGGGATGAAGATGCCTGTGATGATGGTACTGAATTTTTTAGTTGTGAAATTGAACAATGAGAATGAACCTTTCTTTATTTGAAAATGAGTATTGCTATTTTTAAGAATGAACAATATACTATTTATTATAATTATATTCAACAAATGTGTAAAAATGAGTACTTCGTTATTTTAAAATGAGTATTACCTTATTTCAGAATGTGTACTACGTATTTCGAAATGAATTTTTTTATTTGTATGAGAACGAATACTACTTTACTTCAGAATGTGTACTACGTTGATGATTTACTTATGTCTAGTATATCCGGATGTACCTTCTCCTCCTAGACCATAGTCGTCACTCGTCAGTCTCACATATCCTTTGATTGTTCATTGGGATTCAGAACACCAACGTTCGTCAGGAATGTGATGGAGGAATTTGAGAAAGGACAAACTAAAGCGGCTTCTGAAGAGATATCAAGAGAGGTCCAAACCCTAATCGATTCCCACGATTTGGATTCTCTCAAACATTTGCAACTCCTCATGTACATTACTTCTTCCCCCGTTTCTTCTGCGTTTTGAAATTTACTAACAATTGTACCGATGAATTGTTTATCATAACGTTAATTATTACGGAGTATTCATCAATCAAGGTTTCATTAGTCTGCATATTTGCGTTTTTCTTAATTACTTAAGTACTTAAGAATTAGGGTTCATGAGATCTCCAATGACGGACACTGTGTCAATCTCAGACCTTTAGGTTGTGTTTAATTAGAGGCCAGGGGAACCCTTGCAAAATAGAATTGAGGGTAATCTTTGAGCATTAATTTGTTGTTTATGCAACTATTCTGGTGCATTTTTACCCTAGTCTATAGCTTGTGCATGTATGATTTCTGTGTTTTGGATCTACTTGTTAGTATCAGTATTTGTGCTTCTGGTCTTTGTGCTATTACTTTGCTTGTGCTACTGTGCGTACATAGTCTCCGTGCTTCTATGCTTGAGTTGGGGTTCTCTTGGAAACAGACTCTTTACTTTCAAGTAGGGAGAAGGTTTGTGTGCATACACCCTCCCCTCCCCTTTCCCACTTTTTTGTGGGACTCAATGGGTTATTGTTCATGTTTAGACACACAAACACCCACACACACATACCCAAGTAGGGGTGTATACGAATTGAATCGAAACAAATATATCATTATTCGATTCGTATTCGATTAAAGTGATATGTATTCGAATTCGGATTCGTACATAATTCGAATTTTAAAAAACATTCGTATTCGATTCGATAGATATTTGACATATTTGAATTCGTATTCGAATATTCGAATTCGAAAATATTAGTAATTTTTTCTTAAAACAAAATTCTTAAATACATTAAATTATTATTTTATAATAATGTAAAATGTAGTAAAAATTTAAATGTAGTAAAAATATGTTAGAATATATATAAATTTATTTATAAATTATAATATTTGAATATATATAAATTTATATGTACACAAATATTTAATATATTAGAATATATATAAATTTATTTATAAATTATAATATTCGAATAATTTGAATAATAAACGAATCGAATATGTTAATATTTGTTTTCGAATTCGAAAATAATTCGAATCTAAAATATGATTTGTATTCGGAATCGAATTTGAATATAGCGAATACGAATCATCTTTTTCAAATACGAATCACGAATTGAATACATTTTATTTGATTTGTATGCACCCCAATACCCAAGTGTATATGTTAAAATATTTACGGTCCGTTTGGGAATTAGGAAAAGAACATCTGGAATTTTCTTTACTCATTCTCCATTTCTGGTGTTTGGCTTGAAATCTGAAATTTGCTATTTTTGTTTGGTTCATTTTCTGAAAACTAATATACAAAAATGAATAACATAAGAGGGCTTCTTTGCTAGTTCAGGCAGTTCAACAAACACCTGCTCGTCACTATAAAGCTCCCTCTCTATTTTCTTCTGTCAATCCATCTCAACATGCTGTCTTCTTTAATCCACATGAACATGGAATTTGAACACAAAGAAAGTGAATAAAGTAAACTTCTTTTTGTCTATAAATTTTTAAATTCAGGCTCTCTTTCCATGCAAAGTTTTTCCCAGTCCAACAGGTTAAAGTTCTTCTCTCTTCTTCCTCATTTGATTGCCCCATCTCTATTTTCTGGTTCACTATGAAGCTCCCTTTCCGATGGAGAGATGGCTTAAATATGAAAGAAGAAGTTGATGAAGAACACCTCACACTCTCACAGTGGAGAGAGGAGAGAGGGATGTAATGGAGAAGATGGTCATGAGGCCACACATGGGATGAATGGAGAAGATGGCGATGAGGCCACATAGGAAAGAAGAAGAAACGGATGCAGCATTCAGGAAAATGTCTTCCAGATGTGAAAAGGGGAAGACAAAATTAGGATTTTAGCATTCATTTTGCGTTAACGGATGCTTTGACTTTCATTTTCCTTTCTTTCCAAACTCTAGAAAATGAGAAAAATGACATTTAGAAGTCATTTCCCCCCTTTCCTTACGAAGCCTTACTCTTCAACATACACAATTGCATTAATTTTTGGTGATATGTTTTTACTTTTTGAACTCAAATTAAGTAAAACAAAAAACAAAAAATTCATGATTAACTTTCCCCTTTCTTTCCTTACCCACTTGAACCAAACTAGGTTCACTAAAAACCCTCACGCTCAAGCTCCCCTCCCTCCAACCAAACATAAATTAGAAAGTAACTTGTTCATGGTGGTTATATAAGTATTTTTATGCACAGGAGATGGCATTTCTTAGGCTGTCAAGCCTGCTGTTGTCATGTGCTCAAGTACACTTGTGTGGAATGGTATGCCAACTAGCTAAATTGTGTTGTGGCAGAAAGATCTTGAAATTGAGCGTATTCTTCAAAAAAAAATTTATCCACTCTTTCAACACCACTGCTCTTTGTTGAAATATGTAGAAGTCATAAAAGTATGGGCATATATTAATCCTGATTTTATCAACATTGTGTTCTGCAAATGCCCTTAGGATCTTAGGCTCTGTGCTAAATCATTGTAACAGTCTTCATAAATTAATCATTTTTTAAGTCATACTCCGTATTAATCAACACTCTTTGATGACTTAATAGCATTTTTCGAGCAATAAAGCCCACCTGTATGCGAAAAAGTTCAAAATATTCATCTTTACATTTTCTTTTAAAATTTTCCTTGAATAACCCTTATTCTTAAAAGTTTGGCTGTTAAATGCAGATTAGGAAGGTTGCAGGACAGCAATGCAGTTCTCTCTCATTTCAATGATTATTCAGAGCATTGTTTTGCTGAGGTGTCTGCTGATTTCTCGAGAAATACGCGCCTCTTTAAAACCATGAAAGCGGACCTTGATTACATATTTCAGAAGTTGAGGTACATTTTCCCAACAAATAACCTAATATATAGCTACATGTGGATGCCTCATTAGTTTATGATGTATAGTCGCCAAATGAATGTGTTTAGGAGCATGAAGGCAAAGATATTGAGTACTTATCCTGATGCACTCCAAGATGAAGCTACGATTCAGGCCCTTGATCACAGGCCGGACCTGGAAATGCCGCAATGATTTTGCTTTTGTGAATATATATTTTGGGTATTGAATATCTTCATCCGAAATGTGAGTAAATGCAAGCGTTGCTGCTTATATATCTGATTGTCCTTTGTTACTATGGACCTGATCTTTTTTTCGTTAAGTCTAGGGAGGAAACATTGTGCTCATTTATATAAAAGACATATTGCTTGTAGTTTTTATTTGTAATGTATACACTCTGTGTCCCAATTTATTGTGCCTAAGGCCATGTTCCTTCCAACTTATTCTTATTACTTATTACTTTTTTTATTGGAATCATTTCAGATCTGATTAGATCAAAGATTAGATCAAAAATAGCTTTATATATAATTACATTTAAATCAGATCAAAATTTATTCCAATCAAATCAGATGAAGAGAACATGACCTAATTCTACTCAAGACATATGTTCCGTATTTATAAATTGGAAGTAGTATTTTCCTAATATTTGTTAAGTAAAAACAATATATGTACGGAGTACAGGTTTTGGCTGAATATGAAGATCAACTTCGGAATGGCATATCCCACTAACCATAAATCCATAATTCCGAATTGAATGAAACAAATGGTAGATTGAAATATTTATGTTCCACTTAAGTAATATAGTGATTGAGTTTGTTTTTTGTGCTGGATGATCAATTCAATTCTTTGCGTTCCAATTCTGGCTTTCTAATTTTCTGAAAAAATGGAACTAATCAAAATTGGGTGAAAGGCTAAAATAGGAGTAAATTAAAACATAGAGAAAAATTAAAATATGACCTATAATGCTATTGAGGTTAACATATTCTACGTATCAAAGAATACTTCGTAATGTCAATATACTTCGTATAATTTTACGATACAATAGTTTTTTTCAAAATAAAAACATATCAATTTCATTTTAAAGAAAATGATTTTGTTTTGTTCTTGTTTTAGATTATTCTTATTGGAATTCACTAGTTCTGATTGGTTCAATATCGGACAACCAAGACAAATTGATTACCAATCATGTGGTGGATGCACCATTATCAATTAACAAGTCTTATAAAGAAACAAAAAAGATACAGTGACATTTATTACTACGTAAAACAAAACAACAATTTTTAAATAAGGACTAAATGATTCTGAATTTATTTTAATGAAATTTATTTTTCAGAATAAAGTAAATATATTGCTCACATGATTTTTAATACTACAAATGAAAAAAGCCAAAGTAAAATAAATAATATTTGAGGAACAGAATGTAGAGTTAACAATGTTTATTTTAATACCAAATTTTCTGAAGGATTTCAGGGTATACAACATTTTTGGTATGATTGCAAGGGTTTCTATTGTCATCTAGAACTAATATTTTTAATCCGGTCTTTGTCTTCACTCGTGAAACAACAAAATATAGTTGACTATGTGTAAACACTGACTTGGTTAAAAATAATCCCACAAATGACAATGTTTGACCTTGAAATTTGTTGATTGTTATAGCAAAACATGAGGCGATCGAGAATTATCTTCTTTGGAACTTCAAGGGTAGCCCTAGATCAGATGGTACCAAATTCATTCTAGAGATGTAAACTTTTTCCCCGACTCGATTTTCCGAAACCACAATTGCACCAATAACATTATTTCGCAGCTCTTGAACGATTAATCTTGTCCCATTACACAATCCCGATGTTTGGTCAATGTTCCTCAATAGCATAATCGGTACCCCTTTTTTCAAGACTATTTTGTGGTTTGGGATTCCCAAACATTTGATTTCGTTCAAAAACTCAACTGTTATCCAATCGCCATCAACACCTACATCTGCTTCTGCTTGGTACGAAGAATCAGAGCTCAAGTACTCCTTTTCATCACCAGGAATGAGGGACAGAACAAATTCATTTATCATTTCAACTACTTCGAGAGTTGGTGCCAATAATGCTTTATCCTCATAAAAGAATAATTTTTCATATTTTCAAACATAAGTCATTTCCCAATATAAGATTTAAACTTTTTCAAAATTCATTTTTCAAAATTTCCATTTTTCATTTTTCATTTTTCAAATTTTTCATTTTTCAAACTTTTTCCCAATATAATTTTTCAAATTTTTTATTTTTCATATCTGCACTAAATAACACTAAAACAAAAGTCATTTCCTAAAATAAGACTTAAACTTTTTATCCCTTAAATAACACTTAATAATGTCTAGAAGGAGAAATAATATCATGTGACAGTGAACATTTGTCTAAATAATGACTAATGGATAATGACTAAAAGTGCTACATTGGGAAATAAAAAACATATGTTGCTATTTAGGGAAAATCATTATGTTTTAGTGTTATTTAGGTAAATTCCTCTGACTATGAATATATATATGGAGTATCAATTATTTCAGTTCAACACAGCTTAGTTGCCGTTTTGATAAATGAATTACGTGTTAGATATAAGTAAATTTTCCAATTTAAAAGTTATATTTGAACTTTGAATTATTTACATTGATCATTCCGTATCAATGCCTATTTTTTTCCTCGCATGCATATCATTTTGTTTTAAAATATGTACTCCCATTTTTTTTATATTCAACCATTTAATATCAAATTTATTGCAAAGTTTTGAATTTTATTTAAAAGATTTTAAATACGAATATGTTTTTACTCAACTTTGTTAATATTCGTCCATTCAATTGTTTAAAATATTCAATATGTATAAACTATTTTTTTCATAAAAATATAGAAAAATGAAATTAAAGAGTCATGGTTAGACATCATTTTATTCCTATTGATGTAAATATAAAATTGATAAAAAATAATCTGTGAGCTATATGCATACCTTGATAAATGAACAATTATACATTTTAATTATCCATGATTTCTATGCAACCTATGAACGACGTTTAATTTTTTTACGGAAGCAGATTATAATTGATAAAATAACATGACTATAAAATAACATGACTAAACATATATTTTTATCTTTTCTTGGAGTGTTCATTTTCACATGGAGAATTTGTTAAATCCTTCTAAAATTGACATCTAATATTAAATTTTGTATAAAACTTTTTTTATTTAACATAAATTTATTTATCTATACTAACGATTTATATATGAAGATAAGAAAGTTTTTCAATGATCATTAAAAAGCAACCATATAAATTTTAAATACAAAAATTCTGGTCACTAACATATCCCATTTCATTTTGTTATTTTAAATAATTCAAAAATGTTATGCATCAAATTACATTAAAACAATAAAACATAATTAAATGTATTAAGATAAAACAATATTTTGAGTGCGTACGTTTTCTATCTTTTTTTGTTGAAGTATTCATTTTCTCATTTCTCTTGCATCTCTAGCTGATCTCGTCAATGTATCGTCAACTTGATTTTCCATAGCCCCAATTGAAATTGAAAAATATGATGCTCCTACCACCAATTCTTTTAAAAACAAAAGGCTGAAGTTGAATCCTCCGCTTATTTATTGCATAATTAATTCTGAATCCCTATGTATTGAAATGGAAAATGAAAATGGGTGATGGATGTCACATTTCAACTCATTATATATCTCTTTTTATAATAGGATTTTGACCCAAGTATATAAGTCTTTCCATCATCTCCGATGGAGCCAAAATTTCACCATTTTTTAGCTTTGGGGTGTGATGGTAGCATGGTCCTAAAATTCTATTTAAATTAATTAAAAATATTCTTTTTTTATTTTTTAAATAGTATTTATATTTCTTCATATTTATTTTTAATTTTTTATATTATCATCGTAATTGGAGTTCGTATTGTTGTAATCTGAATACAGATATTTACATATAATATTATTGATTATCCAAGACACATAATTAAGGATTGCCATATATAAGTAAAGATATCGAAAATAATATTAGTATTATCCAAGATACATAATATAAGTAAGGTGATTAATAATATACTCGTGATCATAATTTACAAATTTAGTATTATTTAGGATTGTTTCTTAATAAGATTTTCCGTAAATTTTGTTAATGGTCATATATAAGTAAGGTGATCAATAATATATACTCATGGAATTAAGACAAATAAGTAAGGAATCAAAAATAGTATTGGAATTTCTATTAGTATAGGTACTCTATTGATTTCAACCTATATATACACGAATTTCCATTATTAAATCTTTGTTACTTATTAATTTAAGTATGAAATTTATAAATATGAAAGTAAGATAAAGGATTAATATATGTAGCATGGTTCTAAAATCTATTTAAGTTAAATGAAAATTATTATTATTTTTATTTTTTAAATAGTATTTATATTTTTTCGTATTTATTTTTAATTGTTTATATTATCCTCGTAATAGGAGTTCGTATTATTGTAATCTGAAAACATATATTAACATATAATATTATTGATTATCCAAGACACATAATTAAGGATTTTCATATATAAGTAAACGGATCCAAAATAATATTAGCATTATCCAACATAAATAATATAAGTAAGGTGATGAGTAATATACTCGTGATCATCATTTTCAAATTTAGTATTATTTAGGATTGTTTCTTAATATATTTTTTTTGTAAAAAATAATATTCTAATTTCCAGTAATATAGGTACTCTATTGATTTTAACTCTTATTATACACGAATTTCCAAAATAAACCTTTGTAACTTATTATTTAAGTATGTAATTTTTAAATATGGAAGTAAGATAAAGGATTAATATATGTAGCATGGTCCTAAAATTCTATTTAAATTAAATGAAAAATATTATATTTGTTTTTTTAATAGTATTCATATTTTTTCATATTTATTTTTAATTATTTTATATTATCATCATAATAGGAGTTCGTATTGTAGTAATCTGAAGGAAAAAATTTCGTTGAAAGCCAGTGATTATCGCATAGAAAATCTGCGATCAATTGTTTCCAACAGTAGATCCGCTGGTGCATCGTATATAATTTATTTCCGCTGGTTTACTTGGATATTACGTGGCGTGCTGACATGTTTAAATTTTGCCACATAGACATGCCAAATGTCAAATTTCTGTGCATCCGAGTCTCCTTTATTATATTAAAGGATTTTTCCTATTATTACATGGCTTGATGATGTGTTCCATTTTTTGCCAAATAGGCGTGCCAAATGTCACATTCTCGTGCATCCGAGTCTCCTTTATTATAATAAAGGATTCGCCATGTTACATCACCAATATATGGAACACCTAAATAACACCTAGATGGCTCCAATATACGTAGCAAAAAATTGCTGCTGAGTACCCCCAATTTTGTAATAAGAACTCACAGGTCTC